TCATTTCATCTTTGTTTTTGTGGTACAGGAAATCAGTCCCAAGAACATTCTACCACATAGTCTTGCTAAGCTGCCCTGGCTGACCAACTTGCAATCCTCCTGCCCCAGCCTGCCAAGTCTGGGATTACAGTATACACCATCAACCTGGCCAAGCAGAATGTTTTGTCTATTAGCTTGACATATAACATATATTTATATTCACAGCATGCGAGCCTTATTTGTACTTTGAACCCACTGCAAATGTTAGTACTATATTAAGAATATTCTCTGCCAGTGCACAGTGGCACACACCTATAATCCCAAAGATTTGGGAGGCTGATGCCGAAGGACTGCAAGTTTGAGGCCAGCCTCACCAACTGACTAAGCAACTCAAGGACACCCTGTCAGGAGCCATCCATGGGCTGCATGTAGGCTGCCCGTGCATTGAAGCCTATTGAATAGGAGAATCTGGTGTCTGGGAATGACCAGTGGACCTTTCCTCTGGTTGACCGCCCTGACTCATTGTGATCCCTATTCAAGCTCTGCAACAGGTTCCACACAAGCACTGGAGAGGGGATGACCTCCTGTAGCCACCCAGCCCCTCTGAGATGGGTATGACCTGCCAAGGTGCCAGTCAACCTTCTGACTGCAAGACATCATGAAGCAAGACTCGGCCCTTGAAGCCTTGTCCCTGCCTTTGATGTTCCCCCTTAAATAAACCACAGAGCCACCTTCTTTGCTAGCTCCAGCTCTTGTGTGGACGGTGTCTACCAGGGGCTCTGCTTTTGAAAGTATATTTCTGACTCTCTGTCTTTTGTTCTTCACTGATTATTTCAGACTTTAATTTCTCAGGTGCCTTACACCCTCCTCAGCAGGAAGAAGAATCCCCCATTGAGACACTGGCCGTCACCCCATAAGACCCTGCTCAAAATTTTAAAAATGAAAAGGCTTGGGACTACAGTGCAGTGGTAAAGTGCCACTGGGGCCAACCCCCAGTGACCCCCCCAAAAAAAGGTTCTCTACCCCCAAGGGGCGTGTCCAGTGCCCCACATTCTCACAGTCCGCTCTCCAGCGCGTCAGAACAGCCCTTCCCCGTGTGGGCTCCTCAGGGTGACTGAGCAGCAGGGGGCAGTGGAGAGAGGGAGAAGTGGGCAGGGCGGAGGGACAGGTGGGCCCTGAGGCCAACTGCAGGGCTTTGAGTCAGCCCAGTGGCCCTGAGCAACCTGGGCCCCAGGTGCCCCTCTATCCAAAGCAGGGATGGTGCTGACCAAGACATGCCTTCTGGGGCTGCTGTGAGGACTGGAGGCCGAAGAATGGGTGGAATGGTGAACAGAGGAATCTTCAGTCGGGAAGGCCTAGCAGGGGGCGGAATGATGTTTTCTTTCTGTCTTTATCTGGGTAAGGAGAAATGGAACCCCATTAAGAGCCCAGGGCTGTGGAGATTCAGAATGGTGCCTCACCAGCAGCCTCTGGAGGCCAGGAGCCTTGGGGGACTCTCTCAGAAGGAAGCAGGTAACCAGGGCTGGGTAAGCAAGTCAGAGGTCTGGTCAAGATGGTTTCCGACTCAGGTGTTTGGATGCCCGAGCAGTTCAACCTACACACAGGAGCTTTGGAACATCAGCTCCTTAGGGACCAGGACTGCGTTCTGCTGGATGCCCTACTTGGTTTTCCCAAGGTTAGCCTGTGACAGCAGGCAGTGTGGTTGGTGTGATGGTGAAGAGTCCATGCTGTAGAGACAGAGCCTGGGTCAGGGTCCCCACTCTGCCACTTCCCAGATGTACAATCCACATACACATCCTCAGTGGGCCACACTGGGTCAGATTCCTCATCTACAAAATGGGGGTGTAACTGCTGCCTACTACTTGGGATTCCTGTCAAGTTTAAAGACATTGTACGCAAAGCATTTAATTAGGTGCCTGGAGTACAGTGAACCATCGCCAAATGTTAACTTTTAAAAGGTGGCATTAGAGGCTTGGTGTGCAGTTCAGTGGTAGGACACCTGCCTAGGTGTGGGAGACCCAGTAATGCATAATGGAAAAAAAAAGGAAGAAGAAGAGTAACATACGTGGCTTGAAACAGTTAATTCCCAACAAAGGCAGAAAATCAGCACCAATTCCTTTTGCCCAGAGTTCTTCCTTCCAGGGTCCATGATCTGTCCACTGGCTTCTCCTCTGGAATGGTGCTATTTTTACCTGCTTCTTAAAGACCACATCAGGAGCCAGGCCTGGTGGTGCACACCTGTAATCCCATTAGCTGGGGAGGGTGAGGCAGTAGGATCGAGAGTTCCAAGCCAGCCTCAGCAACTTAAGGAGGCCCTAACCAACTCAGTGAGACCCTGTCTCTAAATAAAACACAAAATAGGGCTGGGGATGGGGCTCAGTGGTCAAGTGCCCAAGTTCAATCCCTGGTGCCCCCTAACAAGAACAACAAAAAAACCCAAAACAGCAGGAGAAAATCAACATGCAATTATTTAAGCTCAAAATCACTCAGCTAAAATGTTTACTAGAACACATGGATATTGCTTTCTATCCTTTTCTTTTTTTGTAGTGCTGGGAATCGAACCCAGGGCCTCGTATTTGCTAGGTAAGTGCTCTACCACTGAGCTATAAATCTAACCTCCTGGGTATTTTCTTTCTCTCTCTCTCTTTTTTTTTGGTACCAAGGATTGAACCCAAGGGCACTCTATCACTGAGCTACATCCCCAGCCCTTTTTATTTTGAGACAGGGTCTTGCTAAGTTGCTGAGGCTGGCTTTGAACTTGTGATTCTCCCTGCCTCAGCCTCCTAAGCCACTGGGATTACTCATGTGTATTTAAAAAAAAAAAAATTGTTGTAGATGGACAGCATGCCATTATTTATTTATTTAATTTTTATGTGGTGCTAAGGATTCAACCCAGTGCCTCTTGTGCTCTACCACTGAGCCCCATCCCCATCCCCTCGTGTGTCTTTTTTTTGCACCGGGGATTGAACTCAGGGGCACTCGACCACTGAGCCACATCCCCAGCCCTATTGTGTATTTTATTTAGAGACAGGGTCTCACTGAGTTGCCATTGCTGAAGCTGGCTTTGGACTTGCGTAGCACCTGTGGCCTCTACTCACTAGACACCAGTAGTCATTTCCATCTCAGTTGCGACAACCAAAAATGTCCCAGGACATTGCCACATCCCATTTGTCCCGAGCCACTAGGATTACAGGCATGTGCCACCACGCCTGGCTTCATGTGTATTTCTTAATCAAGATAAATTCTTTAAGCAAACTTGAATTAGGTTTATGAAGGGAAGATTGCAAAAGCTTTAAGCAAGGACTGGCAGTTTCTAGGAGATGGAAATTGACTCATATAAAAAATATCTTCAAGGGCTCAATCTTCAGTTGAGCACTAGATAACGGCAGCTCGCGTCAGGAGACAGGCACTTTTTACAATACTAAAATCACTTTTGGCAGAATCCTTCACATTCCTTCTCCTCCTTCTTTTGCTGTGGACATTCCAGGAACAATTTAGATTCCCTTTCTTTTCTTTCGTCCTTTTCCTTTCCCTCCTACCCTCTTTATTTTTCGTGTGTGTGGGGGCTTGATGAGGATGAACCCCATCCTTGTGCATGCTGTGAGCATGTGTCCCATCACGGAGCTACACCTCAGCTCTCCGCAAACTTCTGAAATTCAAAAGCAGGCATACTACACGTTTGTCAAATTCAATGAACCATCCTGGTCTTCTGAAGAAATAAAATTTTGTCTGAAACATATTCTAGTTTGTTGCCAGGGTACAAATGCCGTCTAATACTGAAATCACCTTTCAAAATGCTAAATTGGCAGTTTCCTAAACAAGGCGGAGCTGGCCCTTTCTTAGCCAGAAATCCTGGGATAGTCTCCTTCGTAAGATGGCTAAGCTGATCTTTTTTTTTTAATAGGTAAGTCAAAGAAAGCAGGAAGTACCTGCCACAGACTGACTCTGGGCCCACCTCTGCTGCCAAGATGAACGCAGCCTTCTGTAAGGGTTTAGTCTGTTTAGTTCGGGGTTTCTCAGCCTCTGCACCCTGACATTTGGGCTCTAGAAATTCCTTGCTTGGGGGTTGTTTAGTAGCATCTGTGGCCTCTACCCACTAGATTAAAAACCACTGTTGTTGGCAGCAGGTTGAAGAACACTGCTCTAGACAAAACCCTGGCAATGCCTGCTCTGAAGACAGGGACTCTCTGCTGACCCTCCCAGGAGGGAGGACTTTTGTTCTGGAGAACAGTCCAGCAGAGATGAGCAGTTTTACTTCAAGGAATTAATAAAGATGACAATCAGTTGCAACAGTGCATTTTTTTTTTTTTCTTTTTTTGGTACTAGGGATTGAACCCAGGGGCACTCAACCACCGATCCACACCCCCATCTGTTTTTTATTTTTTATTTAGAGACTGATTCTCACTATACTGCTTTGGGCCTTGCTAAATTGCTGAGTCTGACTTTGAACTTGCGATCCCCTTGCCTCAGCCTCCTGAGCCACTGGGATTACATGCGTGGGCCATCACACCTGGCAACAGTGGAATATTTTCAGTACAATAATGATTTACATATATATTTTTACATATATATATATATATATATATATATATATTTGGAATATTTTGGAAAGAATGAGTTCTGAATTCTAAGGCAGACAATCTGAGCCTTGATTTTACTGTCCTTATCTGTGTGAACCACAGAATTGCTCATCAGGGCCCTGCTGGCTCCCGTGCCAGGCTGCTGTCATCCACCTTCGTGCCAGTGGGGGGTTTGTTCTCGTGGACACCAAACACTGGTCAAACTAACTAATAAAGTGGATTCAAGCCATGACGGGGTTTTCTACCTCTTTTTTTTTTTTTTTAATGAAACTTAAGACCCACAATTAATATTCTCCCATTAATAATTACATTTGTTAAACACACAGGCCAAATTTTACCTAAACCTGAAAACTACAAGCTTGTATCTCGAATGAGGTCAGACTCAAGCTAATCCAAAACTGTGGTTTGGTGTATATTTTTAATCACTACATTAAAAACAGGTTTACTTTTTAAAACTTTATTGATTTACCACCTGATCAAAGCATGGGATATTTTAACAGTATTATACATAATATTTTTACATAGAAAACTTTACATAGCATTTCATATTATATAATTCTGCTTTATTCTTTCAAAAATGTATACATCCACTGGGCAAGGAATGCTTTTCATTAAATTACCAATATTAAATGCACTTAATCATTGTGTATAGATTAACCAAAGTAGCTATTAACTAACTTTTAGGCATTTTAAGGAGGTAAAACATACATTTTGCACATAAAGAAATATTTGATGTAAATATGCAGATAATTTTTTTAAAAAATTAGAATACTGAGAAAAACTACACCTTTGATGAGTGTCATTTTTTTGAGAGCAAGGATTTCCAGATATATTCATTCTTTTAAAATAATTCAGTTTTGGTTTCTTTGTTTTCCAAACTGCAAAGCTACTGGTAGCAGAACTCCAGGGTTTCGTGTGAGTTCAAGCTGTGTCTACCTTAACAAAGGTACTAAAACAGAATTCAGAAGGAACCAGCTTCTATTGAAACCAATACCCGTTTGCATCATAACAACAAACGTCTGGATGCGAGGGCCATACTTGCATTTATTAGCAGATCACTGAAATAACCATAAAGACTATTAAACGTAGAGCCATAATCACCACAGAATAACAAAAAAGGTTTGGTTTTTTTATTTGTTTGTTTTTGCGTTTTGTACAAAAGTTACCTGTCAGAGGAAAATGTTGTTTCCAGATAATATTATACAATTTTTATAATGTATGTTCTTTGGTTGTACATGAAGAGTACAAGGAAAAGGTATACTTGACACTAAAGGTGCATATTAGAAATAAAATTTACCATCCACCGTTTGTCGTTAAGATGCCAAAGCTGGTGATTTCCCTAACAGACAATGAAGAAAAACAAAATTGCTCAAGCAGCAGTATTATAACAAAAACTTTTCTCTAGAGACCCAGCACAAATAACCAACACTTAATAAAGCATTCTGAGAAAGAAATAAGGCCTTGGAAATGCTTTGCTCTCCTCCGTGACTTTTTAAATACTAATAGCATCCTGGCCGATGCTGATGACTGCACACGCCCTTTTCACTAGTGTTTGTGTGGCCCAAGCCACATTCACCACGAGAGGACAGACTTATTCACAGAAAGGAACTTAGGCTGAATGGCTTGTTACTGGAGGTAAGGGATTTCCTCTGTTTGTCATTGTCCAGTGACAAGAAAAACTACCCTGAATGGTTTTACATCTAGTCTTTAAAAGGTCCATTGCTGGTACAATTTAAAGGATTCGTTCTGAAAATTAATTTTTTTTCTTGTGGTGCTGGGGATTGAACCCAGGGCCTTGTGCACGCAAGGCAAGCACTCTAACAAGTGAGCTGTATCCCCAGCCCCCAAATCTTTTAAATTAAAAAGAAATGCAAGCCTAAACGTTTCAGCAAGTCATAAAACACAATGACATATTTCCTAACCTGTGAGAGGCAAAAGTTAAAGAGAAGGCAGGAGGACCCTGGAGAAATTCTGACAAACAAAATGCCACCTGAGAGCCTCAGAAGGAAAGGAAAGCCACCTGTCGGGGTGGAGCTGTGGGGCAGGACACAGTGACGAGCAAACACACAGATTCCCACCTACACCTCAGCACAAACGTCAGTGGGGACAAGTGACTTGCGGAGGTTGTGACGAGCAACACCGCGTGGCGCAGGTTTCCAAGTGCAGCATCAAGATGCAGCAGATCCCAGGACCAGTCAGTCGCGCTGCTCACGCCTCCCCGCACAGGCAAACCTCCCACAGTCCCTCCCTGCTCCACTGCTCAGCTCCTCCTACCTACGGACGGAAATAAGGTGAAAACCTAAGCCTGCTTTTGTTCTTTGGTAGAGAAATCAAAACACTTTTTGGGAAAGAAAAAAGTAGGTAAGAGTACTGCCGGCCAAAATCAGGACATTTCTCAAGGCTGTTAAAAACAACAACAAGAAACTTAAGAAATCGGTCTCTTAGTAATAAGCAAAAGCACCAGAAATCCTTCTCTAGAAAGAAAAAAATATCTGATTTTACAGATAAGATTCCCAAACAACTAACTTCTAAGGCACCAGAGTTGACATCGACACACCCCGATTTTCAGGACTAGAGTGCAGGTGGAAGCCTGAATGTCCCCAGCCACGCTGGAGACCCTTCTGCACTCCGCGCTGCCCAGGCCGAGAGTGAGCAGAGTTCTCTTCTCACAGTGCAGCGCGCTGCCCCTGCCACGGCGCTGCTCGACCCCCTTGCCATGCTGCGCACACAGGAGCCGGAAGCTCTCCTCGCAAAGGCATGCAGCTCCTCACGGAGAGCAGCCGGTGCCAGGCCTGCCGCCTGCGGCCACTGTCCCAGTTCACCTATGCTGGCCCCAGCTGCTCTGGTCCCACCGTGATGTCAGCTGAGGAAGCTCATGGCAGCAACCCTTCTCATGCACCGTTACTGTCCCTCTGTCTCAAGGTCCCTCTGATGAGGACCGTGCAAGGCAGCAACACGAACCATCAGTACACTCACTCTCCTGAGGTAAAAATAAAAGGTTTACTCAAAGGTAAATGAACTCTGGGTCAATTACTACTTCATATATTAGATTTCAGTGTGTGTGAGATGGACAATGTATTCTGGAAACTTTAACTGAACACCCATCCACAAATACTTACACCAAGGAAGGTCAACCATTTCATTAAATTGTTCACTTTTTCCCTAAAGACTTTTTCTCCCCACGTTACTAAAACAGAGAGCCACGAGGCACAACATTTTTTTTAACCTTGCAAGCTCTTAATTCTAAATAAACTCTGCCTTCAATCAAATCTTCAATAATATCTCTTTGTAAAATACTTTAAAAAATCACTCAGACACAAAACAAAACATAAAAACAATCCTCCTCTCCTACCTTTCCCCAGACTAAGCAAACGACAGCTGACTGGCACTGACAAGAGCACTCAGACTTATCTGACACACTCAAACACAACAAAGAACCCAGCGTATTTTAGGTGGCCGTTAGCCGTTACAAGAAATTTTATTAATATACTCTCTAATAGTCACGAACCTATACAGCTATGTTCAGTATTTTCAAGGAGAATGACTTCCTCTGACAAAACATTGACAGCCAGTCATGGGACTTGGCTAGGAAATAATGGCATTTGCAGTGACAGATTTGACAGTTTGATCAGTAAAATGGAATGACCCACGAAACAGAATCCCCACCAACTGTGCTACCTGGGTATACAAGAACTTAATGAAATGCCACAAGCCTTAGTTGGGGACTTTGATAGGGCCAGCAGAGAGGCCATCCTTCTCCAGGCCATCTGAGACCCAAGGCGGCAGCTCCTTGTTTCCGTGTGACTCTTCACAAGCTGTGCCAGTCAGAGGTGGCTTGACGGATGTTCTGCAGAGCTGCAGCAGTGGCCTGCAGGGGTCAGGGCTACCACACTGGTGACAGTGTCGCTGCTACCTGCGATGGCTCTTCCGGGATCCATATTTTATACACGACACCTATCCGTAGGAAGAACTTTCGCAGAACTGCTCGGAGCTCAGGGATCAGGTCAAACTGCATAATCTCACACAAGTAGGGATAGTACATTGAAGCATGTGCTTTGAACTTGAGGTGGGAGAGAAGAGAGAAAATTAGACATAGGGCCTTTTTCTTTTTTTGCACCAAAGATGTAAAAGTACTCTAATAACACTAATATAACAATCACTATTATTATTAGTTTGTGGTACTGGGGATTGAATCCAGGGATACTCTGCTCTACCACTGAGTGCATTTTTAAATTTTAACTATTGGGTATCCTTTTTTGGTACCAGGAATTGAACCCAGGGGCACTCAACTACTCACATCCCCAGCCCTTTTTCGTATTTTATTTTGAGACAGGTCTCACTGAGTTGTTTAGGGCCTCAGTAAGTTGCTGAGGCTGGCTTTGAAGCCATAATCCTCCTGCCTCAGTCTCCTGAGCCACTGAGATTACAGGCTGCACCACTATGCCTGGCTTTTTATTTTAATTTGAGACAGAGCCTCACTAAATTGCCCCGACTGGTCTCAAACCCCTGTGATCCTCCTATCTCAACCTCCCAAATTGCTGGGATTACAGGTTGCACCACCATGTCTCACTTATAATTAACTTCTTTTAATTATATTAGGATAGTTTTGCTACCAAAAGTCAACAGCCCTGTCATTTTGTAAAGCAGGTTCCTAGGTTTAAACCAAGATCTCACAATCTGAACCCTCTCTTCCTGCACTGAGAATCACTGTGCTGTTCCCAACAGCCATACGTGTGACTTGAACCTTAGCCTTTCTAAACTGGGGTTCTTCCAGAGAAAAAGCCCTTCTGTCTGAAGGCATCAATGGTTTGTAATGAGTTAATTTCCCCTCAGTGCATCTAGAATGGTGTTGGTTATGTAGCCATTACTGGGAGAATTCAGAAAACAGCAACTTCAATTCGGAATGAAAAGCCACCCAGCCAGGTACAGTGGTGCACACCCATAACCCCAGACGCTTGGGAGGCTGAGGCAGGAGGATGGCAAGTTTGAGGCCCACAGCAGCAACTCAGTAGGACCCTGTCTCAAAATAAAAAGGGCTGTGGATGAGGCTTAGTAGTAAAGTGGCCCTAGGTTCAATCCCCAGTACCACACAAAACAAAAAAAGCCCCAAAGCCTCCCAAACTTCCCATCCTAGAGGAGCTATCAAGTTCACTTGTTTATTGTACCTTTTCATCATTTATTTTGAGGGTCTTGGTCAGAAGTAACAACAGGAGGCTTGTCCAGGCCTCCCGATGGCTTTCAGAATTCACCGTGATGAAATAGGCCAGCGCTTCGCTGCACACACTGGAGTGAGAAAGGAGAGGCGCACACCTGGTTAGCATCTCTCGGCTGGGAGGACCCCCCAGTGCCTGCAATGAGTGTTCCCTGAGCACCCACTCTGGCTGTGCCCTCAGGGGCAAATCACTGAGTCCTAGTTTCTTCAGCTGCAAACTGGGAGAAAGTGACTGTACCAAACCCAAGGGGTTGCTGCAGGGATGAACAGATACCTGTCAAGAAACAGCTCAGCTCTGGCTGGCACCCGGCAAGGGCTGGGATCCGGCAATGCTTGTAGCGCAATAAGTACAAGAACTGATTATTCCTAGTTTATTACATGATTGTCTTTCCTCTCAAAGCACATATAGTTTTTTTTTTTCTTTTTTAGCATGTTAGAAGTAGAAAACCCCGTCATGGCTTGAATCCACTTTATTAGCTAGTTTGACCAGTGTTTGGTGTCCACGAGAACAGACCCTCTCTCTTTTTTTTTTTTTTTTTTTTAATGAAAATTAAGACCCTTTATCTCCTTTAGGGAAACTTTTATGAGCCTATATAGGTAATTCTCTTTTGGATTTGATTTAAGAAATGAACCAATAGTGTTTTCTTTAATTAATTCTTTTTTCAGCAATAGCTTATTAGTTGGTACTCTCACTGTAAGACAGTTGGGAAATGCATAAAGTTAGACAGGAGCAAAAAATTATAAAACAGAAAAAAAGTTCTGTCATTCTAAGGGATATATGACAATATTTTGGCATACTTCTGTTTGTTTGTTTTTTCCCTTGGGTCTGGTGCTAGGGATCGAACCTAGGGCCTCATGCATGCTGGGCAAGTGCTCTACCACTGAGCTTCTTCCCTAGTCCTGAGAAATTTCACTTTTACTGGCTGTAAGTATCCCATCAGAGGTTATACTGTAATTTAGTTATTCATTCCATTGTTTAAATTTTTTTCCTAAATTACACCTACAGTAAGTATTCTCTGTGGGAATCCTGGTTCATATTTCTAAAATAAAGAGATTCTATAATAATAGAACTACTGAATCAAGGAGAGTAAACATTTTAGGGCTCTTGGTATATAATCCCACTGCTTTTCAGAAAGATCATGTCACTGTGCACCCCCACCAGCTGTGCATTGGACTGTGGGCATCACCGACCCTGTGGTTCCAGTGCTTCACGTCATCATTTTTAAATCTTAAAGAGGCAAAGTGAGGCTGTGAGCCAGGGGGTGTCCGGCAGTGGAGTATGCTTTGCATGCACAAGGCCTTGGGTTCAAAGAGGCGCAGACATCATCATTTTGCTGATGGACAGGAAGTGGGTTACAAAACTGTACTTTTCTGTCTGGGCTTTTTTCTCTGGGGTGCCACTGTCTCCCCACAGGTGCATATCTACATTGAACGACTAGGCATCTCCTGGTATCCATGTGATTCATTTTTCTTGGAAAGGAGGAATGATGGGATGTGGGCTGACAACAACTCTAAAGAGGACCTAGTCCCAAGAGGGCACTGACCTGGCCAAGGCTAAAGGGCTCCAGCCAGAGTCGGGAACTCATTCCTGCCTGCAGAGCTTCTTGTTGCTCATGATTCTGTGCCTGAGGGAGGTCTGTGAGTGAAACAGGGGAGGCCCTGACCTCTCTTCAGGACACCAACAGAAGGACAGAGTGTGGGAACACCAGCCTATAGGTATCTTTCCCCTGCTCTTCAATTCACAGTGCTGTGTCATGTGTTCTGTACATGACAGATACAAATGCAATGGGAAACCAATCTTCTTACGTTAAAAGTCGCTGCTGTATTTCACCCCAGGAATCCCTGCGGTTCTCATCGACATACATCCGAAACAGGATCCTCAGACAACAGGCCAGGCTGCTGGTTTCTTGTTTGAGAAGGTTAGGTTTTGACTTGCCCTTAAAACCTAGAGATCAGACAGTCATATAAGCAGTGTAAACAAAAGGCAATGCTGAGAATCCTGTGAGCGCCGGTCAGCTATTCCCTTTAGGAAATACTGAAGCATCCCATGGCCTCAGTGTAGCTCAGGTGTGATCTTGGATGAAAGCAGTCACGACTCTCCAGAAGTCGTCCTCTGTAGGAATACCCTGCCTTGCTTGTTTGATGGTAAAACCATTGGCTACTTCTTCAAGTGTAACAGCTTGGAAGAACTCTAGCATTTTTCTAAGTTGCAAGATCCACGCCCCTGCCCCCGCCCCACTAAAGCACATATAAGAGGAGTTTTCTAGGGCTGGGGCTGGGGCTCAGAGAAAGAGCGCTCGCATAGCATGTGTGAGGCCCTGGGCTCGATCCTCAGCACCACATAAAAATAAAATAAAGGTATTGTATCTACCCACAACTAAAAGACAAAAATGTTTAAAAAACCCCAAAAAACAGTTTTCTAAACAAAGTAATACCAATCTGCCAAAGAGACACGTGCACACCAGTCTTAAAAGCAAAACCTCATTACAGACTAAGACATAAAACACCTGGATATTTTAGAATGACACTCCTTAATTGTGGATTAAAATAGCCATTTGGGGAAATTTTAAGTAATGGTAATATTACCCAAAAAAAGTGTCACTTTTGTGCAAATAATGAGACTATTCAAAAAAATGAGAATCTCACCACGGGGGGCGGGGGGGGCAATGGGTTTAATATATATATATTTAGGGGCTGGGGCTGGGGCTTGGTGGTAGTGCACTTGCCTGGCATGTGTGAGGTACTGAGTTCGATTCTCAGCACCACATATAAATATATAAATAAAATAAAGGTCTATCAACAAATTATATATATATATATTTTACCCTGGGATTTATGCGTTTATTTTTGGAGGCAAGATTTAGAGAGAAACTCTAAAGCCTCAGAAAACTGTATGAATACTGTTTCTTAAGACACCACACTTTTCATATCATAACTATTTAAAAATTTTTTTTGGTGTAGATGGACAGAATGCCTTTATTTTATTTGTTTATTTTTATGTGGTGCTGAGGATCAAACCCAGTACCTAATGCATGCTAGGCAAGTGCTCTGCCACTGAGCTACAGCCCCAGCCCATGTCATAATCAACTTTTAATGTAAAATTTATGACCACCAAGAGCAATTAAATTCTCCAACTTTCATTTTGTTTTTCCATCAAATACTTCCTGAGAATCTATCATGTGCCAGGCAGTGTTTTGGTACTGGGATGAAATCTACCCAATATCTAACATAAAAATATCTAAATTATTTGAGCTACATTTAAAATACCAGAAATATCTGGAAGGCTTTAATGTTTTAATTTGGTAACCAGCGTGGCCTCACCTGCTCGCCACAAGACAGTCCGCTGCTCATAGTTGGAGTTGAAGGCCTTTGAGAATGAATGGGACTCCTGCAAGCAGTCCAAGAGCTTGAAGAGGTGCTGGGAAGACATGTACTTGTACATGCCCTGATCCTCCGTGGCGATGTGGATATCTGCATCCAGTGTGTCTTGCTGAAGAGAGATGACAGAAGAACTCAGTGAAGTCAATGCAGTGGTTCTGGACATAGTGAGAGTGGACAAAGGCAGTGGGGACTGTCCAAAGGTGATCTTCTTGCAAGATGCCCTCTAGTCCTCAATGCCCCAACCATTTCCATCTGAAGCTTGCTCACAGGTAGGCGAAGGCATGTCCTGTGCTACTGAGTGATGGGTGACTGGCTGGCCAATTTTTTGGTTTTTTCAGTACTGCCTTTATTGAATGACCAGCGGTGTTGTGTCTCTAGATATTTCACTACAGTGTTGTATTTTTTCATTGCATGAAGAAAGTGAAAAATAAGAAAATAAAAGTGTAATAAATATACAAAAAGGCTTGCGTTTCAAAGCACAGTAACCAAAAGATAGAAACTGGTAAGCAAATCCAAGGGACATCCTGACCTTCAGTCAGATGATATATAACCAGTAAGCTCGATGACTGTATTTTTCAACTGTGAAAGAAAAAAACTACAAAACATGGATGAAATGCTCAAAAATTTTATTGAACATGTTGCCTAAAATCTGAGACATAATTAGGGTGGTTTTTTTTTTATAATTTCTTGATATTTCTAGAAACAAACCCATCTTCCTTATAAGCCAGGAGTCACAAAAATGGACTGTGTAATACTTCCCAAACTGATCTGTTAGGTTCAATGTAATCCTTATCGAGATCCCAGATGATTCCATTGCAGACACTGACAAGCTGATTCTAAAATTCATATGAAAGTGCAAGTGACCCAGCACAGCCAAAACAATCTTGAAAAAGACCACCACTACATGAGAGCTCACATTCCCCAACCTGCAAACTCACTTGGAAGCAACAGCAATCAGGACAGTATGGCACTGGCATACAGACAGAGGTGCACCCACAGAACAGATGGAGAGGCCAGGAGCAAAACCTTACAGTTTATAGATCAAGTGGTTTCTAACCCAAGTGCCAAGAAAATTCACTGGGGAAAGAACAGACATTTCAATAAATGGTGTTGAGACAACTGAACATCACAGATGAAGAAAGCTGGATCCTTGCCGTGATTAGCAAGGATAAGCTAAATGCATCAGAGATCTAAAAGAGCCAAAGTTGTAAAAGTCTTAGAACACAGCCTCAAGTGTGACTCTGATTAGGCAATGCTTTCTTAGAACTGACACCAAAGCACAAGGGACTAAAGAAAAATAGATAAGGTGAAAGACTTTTGTGCTTCAAAGGACACCAGAAATTGAAAAGACAACACATGAAATGGGAGAAAATAGTTGCAAATCACACACCTGACAAGGGACTATTATGTTAGCATATATAAAAACTTAAAATCAACAGGAGGTAAGTTTAAAAATGAGCAAAGGATTTGAGTAGACATTTTCAAAGATACAGAGATGACCACATAAGTTGCCTGACATCATTAGTCATTAGGGCAATGCCAATCATCCACAATGAGACACCATTCCACATGTACCAGGACGGCTCTGGTCATAACTTTGTTTTTTTTTTTTTGAGAGAGAGAGAGAGAGAGAATTTTTAATATTTATTTTTTCGTTTTCGGCGGACACAACATCTTTGTTTGTATGTGGTGCTGAGGATCGAACCTGGGCCGCACGCATGCCAGGTGAGCGTGCTACCGCTTGAGCCACACCCCCAGCCCCTGGTCATAACTTTAAAAGGGAGACAACCACCACCGAGGGGATGTGGAAAAACAGACCCTCACACACTGCTGGTGGTGATGTAAACGGTGTGGTTGCTGGCACAGCAAACTGGCAATTTCTCAAAAAGGCAAAGAACATGGCCAGACACCTGCACTCAGGATATACCTAAGACACACGTGTCCTTCGAGAACTTGTGCACAGTGCTCGTGATGGTACCATTTGCAACAACCACAGTGGAATCCACCCAGAGGTCTATTAACTGATGAGTCGATGAGCAAAAGGTGGCACAGACACGGAAGGTTGGTGCCCAGCCAGACATAAAAGAATGAGGTGCTGATACATGGAGACTGTGTAACGTGAATGAACCCAGAAACATTCTGCCAAGTAGGAAGCCAGACACAGATTGTATGGTTCTGAAAGTCCAGAAGAGGCAAATCTATCGAGACAGAAAGCAGCCAAGCAGGGGCTGGAAGGAGAGGGACTGGCCAGGACTGCTGGTGTGCACAGCATCTCTTCTTACAGCGATCAAAATATCCTCAAATCAGACAGTGGCAATGTCTGTACAACTTGTAAATATGCAAAAAACATGGGATTATACACCTAAAAAAGGGCCGACCTGGGTGTGGAGGGCCTGTGGTACAGCAGCTGCCCCCTCCTCTGTGGCAACAGGGCAGACCGGGAGGTGGCTGCTGCTCTGCCTGGTCTAGGAACTTGTGTGGCCCACCATCTCCACCCTGCTCACCTCCCCAGTCACAGGGTCTACTGCCCCTGAGGACGTTAAGGTATAATGTCCCATGGCATGAGGTTACTGTCCAACTTCTGGACTCTCCTCCTGTTTCAAGAGTCCCTTCTATAGAGAAAGCTGCATATACAAAACAGAAACACACTTTCTGAAGGAAAAACTGGGATCTTTATGTACAAATCTTCCCTCTCAATTATTTATGGTGAAACTGTATACCAAAGGTACAGAATAATGACAAGTAACACTTTCCTGTAAGCACCTAAGTAGGGGTGGCAACTAGGCAGAGATATGCTGGTAAATAGGCTTTAGGGGCATAAAAAAAGAAGTGTTTGCTGGTATCTGTGGTGTCAATAAGTTCCATTATGGCCAATTTCAAGCGACCGATAGGACATTTTTGAATGTAGGCCTGGAAAGAGATGAGGGGTATGGGGGTGGGAAGGCTGATGGATAGCCAGCCAGGCTGCTCCAGCACGCCACTGCCCCTGAGCAACCCCAGGGACAGTGTGCCCAGGGCCGCGGTGTTACCTGGGCAGCGACCATGTGCTCGGCGTCCTCCTTCTTGCTGGTGGCGGGGTAGAACACAATGTTGTCAATGGTCTGAATCAGTTCCAGCTGGACCACACACTTGATGAGGAGACTGGCAAACAGCTTCTGATCTACATCAGATGGTGAAGAGTAATAAAGACCCAGCCCAAACCACACGAGCAGTCAGCACCATGTGCCTGGCATAATTCTTGAGGCGGTGGCCAGCAATGAATGAAGTGGACAAACCCCCAGCTCCCACGGCACTGACAGGTAAGATTTAAGGTGAAAAAGAGCATCAAATGATACTGTGAGGGAGAGGCGGTAGGAAGCAGCAGGGCCAGGCTGCAAGTTTAAATAAGCAGAAGTTTCAATAGCTTCAAATCTCCCTCTAAGACGTGGTCCCTGAGCAAAGACCTGAAGAAGAGGAGGCAATTAGCTCTGCAGGCTGTGTGTCCTCCAGCAAGTTTCTATCACCCCGGGGCCACCCCTATGAGCAGCTTTGGATTGTGCCCTGATCACATGGGTTTCAGGTCCCTGCAGTGACTAGCCTCTTTTGAGGACAAAACCTTAGCTCTGCACAGGTATGGGGACAGCTCTTCTGAGTTTTTAGTTTCTGGATCACTTTCTGTCCAACTAGAAGCAGGAGCAGCTTTTTCTGCACTTTCTATTTATTTTTTTGGTGGGGGGAGGTGGTTACCAGGGTTTGAACTCAGGGGCCCTTGACCACTGAGCCACACCCCCAGCCCTATTTTGTTTTTATTTAGAGACAGGGTCTCACTGAGTTGCTTAGGGCCTTGCCGCTGCTGAGGCTGGCTTTGATCTCGTGATCCCCCTGAGCTGCTGGGATTACGGTGTGTGTGGCTGCACTTTCTACTTCTGTATACTTCACAACTTTCACCACCTGGAGTGGTTAGCAACCTTGACTAGTCAATAATTCTCCATTCTGAATCTCCCCTGTTCAAATCAGCAGTGCAGTTTCTGCCTACTGACTAGACTCTGACCACTCATCTTTGCGTTCTCGATTGCCTGGGGATCAAGGGTATCCTATGTAGAGATCTTCCCAAGTGTTGGTTGACTTGACTACAGTAAAAGCAAGGGTTCCTTCTCACTTATTGTTATAGAATCAGAATATGGGAAAAGTTAAAAGTTTACGTGAAAGAAAACAAGATGGCTAAGCTGTTTTCAAGTTTTTGACAGTGATTATGAAATTACTTAAACATAACAATTCTCCTTGCAGAATGTTTTAACTTCTGAGAGGCTGGGGATGTAGCTCAGTGGTACAGTGCTTGCCTAGCATGTACAAGGCCCTAGTTCATTCTCTAATAGTGTAAAAGAAAATAACAACAAAAAAAAAGTGGGTTTTTTTTTGTATTGGCTATTGAACTCAGGGGTGCTTTACCTCTGAGCTACATCCTCAATCCTTTTTTCTTTTGAAATGGGGTCTCACGAAGTTGCTGAGGATCTCATTAAATTGTGAGGCTGGCTTTGAACCTGTGATCCTCCTGCCTTAGCCTCCCAAGTTGCTGGGATTACAGGTGAGTGCCACTGTGCCCGGCTTAAGGGAAAAATGTTTTAACTTTATTTATATATATATATGGTGAAACTACAGATGTTAAAAAGGAAGAAAATATGAACAGTGCAAAATTTCACCTACCTGAGCTCACACCCAGAAGGGAGCCCGAGATGGGAGTGAGAACAAAATGCCCATTCCCTGCACAGGAGGTGGGGCTTGAGTCTCAGCCCCGCCCCCCAACACGTGCAGACATCTTGCTGCATTGACAATGGCTGTCCTGTGAAAGACAGGCCTACCTGGCTCCACCCAAAAACTCACCACTTCATCTGGAGCTGACCATGAGATAGGCCATCCACCATTGGACCCCGGAGGGGACTGCTATGAAGCAGTTCCTAAGTGACAGTACTGCCATCCCAACACGGTGCCTTTTAAATGGTTTTCAAAGGTGACTACTTTACTCTAAAGGAAAACCTTAGAAGAGAACAGTGACCACATGCTGCTTTTGTATTGTGTGCTGCTTCAGAAATTAACTTCAATGTCATCACCTATAGCCTGGTGTGATAAGGATGGGGAAGGACCACTATGAAGACAAAATATGGGGCATGCAGCCTCGAAAAGACCAGCAGAATGCTTTAAAAGTTCTGCTTCCTCACAATGCCAAAGGGTGTCCGAGTACTTCACGTTGGCAAGTCACATTATCTAAATCCTGGTTCACTCTTCCAAGGCTAGTGTAAGGATTAAATGAGACACACATAGGAAACAGGGCACAGTGCCCGGCACACTGTCACTGTCTTCAGAGCTGTTGATACTATTTTTAAAAATAAGATACAGTAAAATACATCATAAGCTGTAACATTAAGAGAGACAAATTGCCTAAAGTAATTTCAAAATGTGTATGCAGAAAAAGGAGTTCCTCCAAACCACTAAGGATTAACAACCACTCCACTACAAAATGAGCAAAGATGAACAGAAAAAGAAATGTCTTTTTTTTTTTTTAAGTGGTATTGGAGACTAAACCAAGGGGTGCTCTATCACTAGGCTCACACAGTTGCCCAGGCTGGCCTTGAACTTGCCACAGCCTCCTCAGCTGCTGAAACTACAGGCATGAGCCAACATGCCTGGCTAGAAGTGGTTCAAAAACATATTAAAAAACCCACTCTTATTTCAATCATAATTAAAAAATTGTAAATCCAGGTATTCACAAAGATAATGTAAGCAGGTATAGCCTTAATGAATGGCAATCTAGAAATACCTATCAAAATGACAAACATGCTTATCCACTAACCCTACAATTCTAAGAATTTACTATATAAACTAATAAGCAAAGCAGTATTATTTGTAACAGAAAAAACTATAAATGAAACAATAATAATATAAATGTCCACTATTAGGGATCTAATTTAATAGACACACCTACATACCAGAATAACAACAGTAAAAACTCTTTTAAGTACTGATTTTGAACGAGCTCTAAAGTATATTAAAGCAAAAACAGAATAATTCATGTATTTCATGATTTGCATATAAGCAGGAGAGAAGAATTCAGATGGGCACCTATGGGCATGGGCCAATGTATATGTGTATATACTTTTTGGCATGTGAATAAAATGACCGCAGAAGGCACATGAGAAACTGGCAGCACTGCCAACACGGGGAAGGGCACAGGTCATCCACCATTGGACCCCGGAGGGGACTGCTATGAAGCAGTTCCTAAGTGACAGTACTGCCATCCCAACATGGTTCCTTTTAAATGGTTTTCCAAGGTGAAGGCCTAACGGGGAAAGAGGTTTACCCTGTTTAAATTTCTGAATCACACAAATGTGTTACCTGCTTCAAATAAAGAACAAATGAAAACAAACCAACATGGGAAGGGCCTTACTTGCGTATGGTCTGCCCTTCCAGCTGTCGTCAGTCGGGTTGGAGAGCTGGCTCTGGCCTCGCTCTGAGGCATTTTTATCTATGCTGCTTAAAGACTGGCGGTCCAGGTCCACATCCTACAGGTAAACCAGAGAAAAGCACCGGGTTCACTTCTCTTCCTACCTGGGCAGATGTGAGTTTCTGACACTGGAGGCCTGGCCTGAATTTCAGTGCCTTCTGGACAAATGAATTATGCTGCATGTTTCACCCAGACTCCTCAAGGCTGCCGGAAGTGGAGACTCAACTGTGCCCCCTGCCACTGAAGTTTCACGTTTTCCTGTTCTAATTCAGGACACTTCGCTACACACTGTGACGTAACAAGTGGGACAAATTTCCAATATGCTCAAATTCAAAACTTAGTGAACACTAGCTAGGTTTTGTTCTGTGTTGTGTTTTGACAGCAGAAAAGAATTTAAAAAACAGAAAATGTTAAAATAGTATGCTTCACTTTTAAGTCATTGCATCCTAAATGCCTTTTAAAATCTATGGGAATTTTATCAGTTATCTGGGAATAAAAGTTAATAAGTCAATTTTTAAAAAAAATTAATTATCTATTTAGTTGTTGATGGACCTTTATTCTTTATTTATATGCAGTGCTGAGAATCGAATCCAGTGCGTCACACAATCAAGGCAAGCGCTCTACCACTGTGTCACAACCCCAGCCCCGTTAATTCAATTTTTACCCCCCACAACTGCCCAGTAAAGAAAAATATCCTGTCTTTGTAGTCTCACATAAAAAGCAAGAACTACTATTTTCTTTGGTGGCAAGAAAAGCACTATTAATTTAGAAGGGCAATAAGCAAGGCTAGTCACACCAAGGAGCTATTTATTTATTCATTTATTTATTTATTTAAATATTTATTTTGCAGTTGTAGATGGACACAATACCTTTATTTTATTTTATTTTTTACAAGGTGCTGAGGATCGAACCCAGGGCCTCACACGTGCTAGGTGAGCACTCTACCGCTGAGCCACAATCCAGCGCCAAGGTGCTATTCGTAACAGTGAAACATAAGAAGTTACCCAGAGTCCATCTTTTTAGGGAAAATCAAGGAATTATGACAACATGCAGCCATTGAAAAGACTATTCTCGAAGAACATAGAAAAATGCTCCCAATGTTATTAATGTTGTGTGCCTAGTGATCCCTTGCAATTGTGTGTGGGTCTATTAGGTGTGCATAGTGCACAGACACCCAAAGATAAAACCAGAAATGTAAGTTGTGCTTTCTTCAGTGTTGGGCCTTCTACATACTAGGCAAGTGCTCTACCAGTAAGTGCAACCTCAGCCCTAACCTGTACTTTTTGTTGGGTTAGAAGACTTATTTTTTAAAATACTTTCCTCTTCTTCATTTTTGAAATATGGAACACTTTATGAATTTGCATATGATCCTTGCATGGGGCCATGCTAATCTTCACTGTATCATTCCAACTTTCAGTATCTGTGTTGCCAGGGCGAGCACTACTTTCCTATTTTTTTAAGAAATAAGAAGAAGGAAAAGATACCAACAACAACAAAATCCTACCAAATGTTTTTCTGATGTGTCTTCCTCCATTCCTGCAGGTTTCCATGTCAGCAAACTGAAGGGAATGGAAGAGATGGAAAATGGTCAACCTCAAAGGAAACGAGGAGCTTTACGACACCAACCGAGTGTGTGAAATAAAGTGTAGCAACTGCATCAACACTTACACATGTGGGATGGTGGTTTTGAAAATATCCAACATACAGGTGCATGTTTCATCCCAGACGTCAGGACTGAATTTTTCCCCATTGGAAATTACTAAGTTTTCTAAGCAATTCGTACCTGATCGAGCCAACTGTTCATTATCTACAAAATAAATATTATCTGTCATTACACTTGAACTGCTGTTTGGATGCCAACCAGGTCCCAGATGCTTTTTATAGTGAAGTAAGAGACTGCAGCTGGAGGGTTTGTAGGATTTTAATTAATGAAACAATGCTATAGAGAGCATTAAAAGTTTTATAGCTTAATTATGCTACGAAGATATAAAATGATTTAAGCCGGGCATGATGGTGCACACCTATAAACCCAGTAACTTGGGAGGCTGAAGCCCTAAGTAACTTAGCAACACCCTGTCTTAAAATAAAAATGGGCTGGGAATGTATGTAGCCCAGTGGTAGAGCGCCCTGGTTTGAATCCCCAATACTGAGGAACTGGTGCCGGGGGGGGGGGGGGGGGGGGAGGTAAAATGATTTATCATAGTTTTTTTTTGTTTGTTTGTGTGATACTGGGGTTTGAACCCAGGGCCTCATGTATGCTAACCAAGTTCTCTATCTTTGAGCTATATCCCCATCCCTTTTTGAATTTTATGTTGAGACAGGATCTTACTAGGTTGTCAGGGTTGGCTTCAAACTCACAATTCTCCTGCCTGAGACTCCCAAGGAGTGACCATTGTGCCCAGCTTGACTTATCATAGTTTTATTGCTAGGAATAGAAGAAAGCAATCTTGTCACTTTAACTGACTCACATATGGAAAATAGTAAAAGAAAATGGAACAGCCAGGTGCGTAGCACACACCTGCATCCCAGAGACTCAGGGGTCTGAGGCAGGAAAATAACAAGTTTGAGGCTAGCCTCAGCAACTTAGTGAGATCCTGTATCAAAATAAAAATGGGCTGGGGGAGTTATTCAATGGTAAAGTACCTTTGGGTTCAATCCCCAGTAACACACCCTTCACCATAAGATGGAACACAGTCGACCAGTGTTTCTGAAAACTCAGTCACTTACACACAACATCTCCAATTTTTGTCATCTAAATAGTATCCATTAAACTGGGCGCAGTGGCACATGCCTAGGTGGGCTAAGGGAGGAAGACTGCAAATTCAAGGCCAGCCTCAGCAACTTGGCAAGGCCCTAACACACACACACACACACACACACACACACACACACACACACACTCCACTGTTTTTTGTCACGTATTTAAAATTTGAGTCACTTTTTGAAAGCCTTCTAAATTTAGCCTTGCCCTATACCAAAATTATCTATAGAATTCAGGTCTTCTTTTTATGATACACATTAAAACACACAACTACTCAGACCAAAAAAAAAAAAAAAAGTTTACTGATGCAGGCTGTTGATCTTGACTCCAAAGTTAAAAAGCTTCTTTAATGTATATTTCTTCACCAGTCCTCAAGCAAATTAGTAAAATTACAAATAGAAAATCAAAACATAATCATCATATTATACAAGATATTTCATTTTCCTTCAATAACAATCTGTTTCAAAGCACTTCTTTCCAGAATGTGTAGATGCAACAAATGTGCATTTTAAAAAGTTATTTTAATACAGAAAATTTCAAACATAAAATTTTAAATTTACTAATATGTAAATTTGCTTTTTTTTTTTTTTTTTTTTGGTACCAGGGTTTGAACCTAGGGATGTTTAACCACTAAACACATCCCCAGACCTTTTAATTTTATTTATTTATTTTTGTGGTGCTGGGGATTGAACCCAGGGCCTTGAGCATGCAAGGCAAATACTCTACCAACTGAGCTATATCTCCAGCCCTTATTTTTTTATTTATTTTTAAAAATATCTATTTTATTTAATTATTTTATGTGATGCTGATGATCGAATTCAGTGCCTCACGCATGCAAGGCAAGCGCTCAACCACTAAGCTACAACCCCTCAACCACTAAGCTACAACCCCAGCCCCTTATTTTTTTATTTTTGAGATAGGGTCTCGCTGAGTTGCTTAGGGTCTCGAAAAGTTGCTGAGGCTGGCTTTGAACTCATGGTCCACTTGCCCCAATCTCCCAAGCCATTGGGATTACAGGTATGCATGACCCCCACCCCTAGCTAAAGGTACATTTTTAAAAATGCAATAACTACATCACATTTTAAGTGCTTTACAAACTGCTTGAGAGGACTGTTTTATGTTCTAATTAAATTTAAAAACATACATTTTCACCAAATTATATTGTTCACTGGATTCCTTGGCATTACACCCACGCTTTTATGTACTGAAAAAAGTAACCTCTCATGAGGACTATGTAAAACGATACCTAAAGACTTAAAGAATACCTTGTTTAACACACCACTGCAATTGTGCAAATACATCAGAAAGAAGCACTTCATTCAAAGCTTCATAGAACTGGGTAAATACGTCACAAATAGCATAAAGTGCATGATTGCAGGTTGTTGTCATCCACTCAGATTTCTGGAAGAACAATAAAAAAGATAATTCTTAAAGCCACTCTCTCAGCAACAAGAACAGTATTCTTGTATCCCACTGGCAAAACTACCCTGGAAAGTGATTTAGCAATACTTATCCGTAGTCTTAAAAATGTCCACACCCACTCACTTAGTGACACTGCTTCCAGGAATCCATCCTAAAGAAATAATAGCACTTGCCTCGAATGTGCAAGGCCCTGGGTGCAATCCTTGGTGCCACCAAAAAGAAACAAGAAGAAGAAGAAGTGAAGATTTGTGGGTAAAAGTCTATGAAGAAAGGTGTTTACTGCAATGGCATCCCGAGACTGAAAACATGGTACACCTGACACCTTGCAATGTGGGCATTAAACTAAGTAGACCAACATGAAAGAATATTAAACAGTCATTCAAAATGGTAGTTTTAATGATCAGTAAAAAGTGAACAAGAGATTATACTGAACACTTACACCTGACACCAAATATCTAAATATTAAAAATGATGCCATGAATTTACCAGAAAAATATACAGGGATATTTATGAAGACATGGTAAAGGGAAGGGCCTCTAAGTGTGATTCCAAAAGTGGGAGCCAGAAAGGAAAAGCTGGGAGAATTGGTTATTTAAAAACTAAATTTTTTTCCAAGTAAAAAGGAAATAAGAAAAAGTGAGCAAAGTCAGTTGCAGTTTATAGAAGCATATTACGACTTTCTTAGAAACCAACCAGTGGGCGGACTCATAAAAGAAGGAGAAATAAACACTCAATGATACAAGGAGAAATATGAAGCTTGCTAACAACTAAGAAAACTTTTCAGTGTGATGTCTTGGCCTATCAGTTAACCATAATGGAACAAATGAGAAGCTGGAGTGGGTGTGGAGAAATAGGAGCGCTCGACTTTGCTGGACAAGTGCAATCAGCTAGATTTATTTGGAGGTCAGTTTAGAAGAACATATCAAAAGGCTTAGTACATTCATGCACAAACCTGGCAGTGAGGCTACCTGTCCTAAGGAAAAAGAACTAAAGAACACAAATACGAGCATCGCTGCAAAACATGTTCCTTTTAAGGGCTGGGCGTGGAGGCATGCACTTATATCCCAGAGACTCTGAAGGATGAGGCAGGAGAATCTAAAGTTTGAGGCCAGCTTCAGTTACTTAGCAAGACCCTGTCTCAAAATAAAAAGGGCTGGGGGTGTGGCTCTGAGGCCCTGGGTTAATCCCTGGCACTGCCATAAAAAGTTCATTTCAGTGCTATCTAAAAGAAAAACTAGAAACAACCTAAAAGCCATGGAATATTTATAACTTGGAATATTTTGTAGCCACAACACAGTCAGAGGGCTGGGAATGTAGCTCAGTGTGCTTTTCCAGCGTGAGACCGTGGGCCCAGGGTTCAATTCCTAGTACTGTCAAAAGGAAAAAAAAGTTACAGTTGCAGGAAAACTCTCATGTATTAAGAAAGCAGAGTACACAGGGGTGCTGGGAAATTGCTTTTGTAAAATGAAAAAAAGGTGTCTGTCTCACACAAACACAGCATCTGGAGGAGTTAATAAGGGTTGCCCACAGAAGTGGGACTGCGGGTGTTTTATTTTTTCTATTTTCTGTAATGAATATTATTTGTTTTATAATGGGGAAAAACTTTATATTTTAAAACTAAAGAAGATCAGCTGGGCAGTGGTGGTGCATGCCTGTAGTCCCACTGACCCAGGAGGCAGAGGCAAGAGATCACAAGTTTAATGCCAATCTCAGCAACTTGTCAAGGTCCTAAGCAACTTAGCAAGATCCTGTCTCAAAATAAAAAATAAAAAGGGCTGGGGATGTGGCTCCCCGGTTAAGCATCCCTGAGTTCAATCTCTGATACCAAAAAAGGAGGGGGGAGGTGAGATTAGAAAACTCCGTACTATGATTTCAACCATATTTTAGACCATGTAGAAGATGGAGCAAATTTGCCAAAACGTTAATTCTAGTGTCTGGATGGCAGAAGCATGAATTCTTTCATATACCCAATATTCCATGTTATGCACATACTACTTTCATATTGGGGTGAGGGAGAGAAGGTGTTCTTGAAAGAATGGTTCAGAGAGCCTTATATCTTCTCCATCTTTAAATTCATGACAAACAGAGGGGCCAAATATACCCCCTCTCTACTGGTGGCCCAGAAGTCTGTGAAGGAACAAAACAACTAAGACAACCTGCTAGGAGCTGCTGAGCTGGCAGACAGTGTCCACAGGCCAAGTGGCAGACTGTGTGATGTCCCTCCCAGGTGGGGAGTCTCTTGCGACTAGCTGACGCTGTCCAGGAGGGCCAGGAGGGGAGGCTTCTGTTTTTAGAACCCCTTGAGAAGCCCAGTACTTCAAAGGCAGAGGACAATGCAACCCCATGAAGGGGACAGCCCTCCAACCCTCAGTCCCCAGGCCCACAGTGCTGTCGCTGTCACTTACCTCTGACTGTTGTTCAGGCAGCTTCATGTTGTCAAAAATCCGAAACACAATTCTGAACAGGTCCTGCCACCAGTGCTTTTCAAAGGTGTGGCCATAGCTCTTCATGATCTCAAACATGACCGTGAGCCCCCTGGGGAAGCAAGCCAGGCACAGAGGATGGGCAAGGGGAGAGCAGGAGGAAACAGGGTCAGGAGGGTGGGCCAGGCGCACCTCACGCCCACGCTGGGGACCTGCTCACCTTGTCCGCACATCCAACTTGCACCTATTGATGATGCAGGAGAGCTCAAATAAGATGGGGAACCAGCCTCGGACCCAGACTCTGTCACCAGGAGCAACATTCATGTCGTCGCTTGTATATTCTTGTAGCACCTACAGTGACAGTCACATCTTAGATGTGAAGCAAACAGGAAGAAGGAACCGAAGGGGACTGCACCAAAACTGAGGGTCCACACATTTTCCTCTCCTAGAATTTCCCACTCAGCAGGGTACCATGGGGAATCCCAGAGACAGTGACAGTCACCTGTCTGAAGGAGAAGTTTTCCCAATGAACCTATGGATCTCTGTGAGTTTTAGAACAAGTCAAGGGGGGCAGACCCCAAGACCCCTGGGGACGGGAGGTGTTTCACAGGAAGATCACTAAAATCAAATAGTATCAGTAAAATATCCAGGATGATGCAATACTGTAGGTCTTCTGCACAGAGTTTTAAAATAATAGCAGCAGGGTTGGGCGTACCCCTATAATCCCAGCAGCTTGGGAGGCTAAGGCAGGAGGACCATGAGTTCAAAGCCAGCCTTAGCAACTTAGTAAGGCCCTAAGCAACTCAGTGAAACCCTGTCTCTAAATAAAATACAAAAAAAGGACTGGGGACGTGGCTCAGTGGTAAAGCGCCCTTGGGTTCAATCTGTGGTACTGGGAAAAAACAAACAAATAAATAAAATAATAGCAGCAGTAGCTACTATTTACTAAGTGCTTATTATGGGCCAGGAACTGCTCAAGGGCTTTTCGTGGGTTAACAATTCTCAACAATCCCCAACAGGCAGATAAAAATAATGTCCCCACTTCACAGGTGACTCAACAGGGGTTCCAAAAGCTTAAGTAAGATGCCCAAGATTCTGCCACCAGGGCCTGCAGTCTTTCCACATTCTAGATGCAAACCCCTACTTTCCCTGTCTCTGGGATTCAATTACTCTGCTCTGTAACTGTTCTTAAAATGGTATTGGAATTTCTTTCATCCCTCTTCTTTTTCTTTTTTTCCCTCTAGTACTGGGCATTGAATCCAGGGCCTCTCACGTGCTAGGTAAATATGCTCTACCACTGAGCTACAGAACTAATCCTTTTATTTTTTATTTTGAGACAGGGTCTTGCTAATTTGCTGAGGCTGAATTCCTGCCTCAGCCTCTGGGTTGCTGGGACCACAGGTGTGCACCACCACTGCGGCAGGTGCCACCCTTGGTCTTTAAGACAACATCTTGCTTCTGTTCTCTGGTCCCAATTTAATCACCTGTATAATGGGAACACTGGCAAAGTAATACGTAGAAGAGCTCCAAGTCCCCCGACCCTACTGCTGGGGACTGAACACAGGGGTGCTCTACCACTGAGCCACATCCCAGCACTTTTTGAGACAGGGACTAAATGAATCAACCCACAGGATGCATCCAGAATGGTGCCCGACAGGTACCAAGCACTCAGTCACCACTGCCTCTCACTGTAACCACATCTTACTAAGTGGCTATCGGGACTGGACAGGGTGGACAGTTCTGTACAGAATTCTTAGGGGAGCTCTGCACAGGCCAGCGGAGTTCAGGTGTGTTTTCCACCCAGTCTCCTTGCTTTAGGCTGTTGCTTAAGCCAAACCATTCAGAAAGCTGAGACAGGACAGAAAAGCCCCAGACATTTTCAGGAGAAAGTGCAAGGTGATTTTTGTTGTTGTCCTCGACATCGGGAATGGAAACCAGGGCCTTGGTCATGTTAAGCAGGTGCTCTGCCACTGAACCCCCGACCCAGCCCTAAAGGCAGGAGGCTTGTTTTCTTTCAAAAGAAAGGTGAGCTTCAAAGCTGTTACGAAATACAAAACTCAAAGTATTATTATCTTCTATAACTTGCAATGCTACATAAAACTTTGGTATGAATAAAATACTTTCACATACAAACTATATTGAAAGGCATAACCATGCAATAGCAGCGTTTGAAACAACACCTAGCCCAGGGCTAACACGCCTTCTAAAGCTGTCCAGGAAGCGCTCTGCCAGGAGAATGGGGTTTGCCCCGACCTGCACCCCACCCAGAAGCTAGGAGGGGACGCACTCGCGGCCTCTCAGAGACGTATTTCCCGCAGGAGCGGATGAGCCGGATAGCCTCCATGCTGGTGTCGGGGAAGGCGGCGTTGCAGGCGAACTCCGACAAGCACTTCACGGCGTCCTGGAAGGAGTCGATGGCTGCCGGGAAATGGTGTTGGAAAATGGTTGCTGGGGAGACACAAGGCACAATTGTTTTTTTGTTTTTTTAAAGAAGCACAAGATTTAGAAATGGAAATTAAAACACACACACACACACACAATCAGAGACTCACCTATGTAGAAATCTAAGAAAAGCATGTCAGTATCCTAGAAGACAACTTTTCTTCCTAAATTACTCAAGAATGCAGTGCTGATTCAACTTGGGTTAAACTATGTCCTGAACTGGAGCAGAGATGGAAAGGCCCAAGTAGCCACTCACTCAACACCTACTGAGCACCAACTATGCACAAAGCTGACAAGAGGGCCGAACGATTTCCAAGTGAACTTTGGTAACGTGATCAAAGGCAGGCCAGGGCCTCCCGGGCAGTCCACAGTGAGTGACACTGTGACACTGCACTCACCCTCACTCCAGGCTGATTGCTGGGTGGGAGCCCTGGCTCCATCCCTTCCAGATGTGTGACTTGGGCAAGCAGTTCTGCTTTAATTTTCTGTGCCCTAGTTTCCTCTTTGGTAAAGTGGGGGAAACACGGTACAGTTGGTCCCTGTTAGTCACAGTAGCTGTGATCTTTACAGCTGTCATGAACACTGAATTAGGAAGTACTAACCTCTGTCCCCAGGAGAAATATGGGTTCCTCCAGGTCTCTGGTTGTATTTTCATCAACCAATCACTATACAGCTTTGTTGCAGGTGTTTCTCTTTAAAGACACCTTCCTGAGTAGGTGCTGTTGATGCAGTAACTAAACTCACAGCCAGTGGCACCGCAGGCCTGAAGGGAGCACATCTAACGCAAGCATTCTCTCCGAGACACACTGCAGCCCCTCTGTGCTCAGAACACTAGCTGGCACCCAGCACTGTTCTCAGGGGCCAATGTAAACAGTGAAATCACCAACAAAAAGCAGGAGAATCTGGGAAACTCGCACTCAACAGACTGCAGAAAGGACCCTGGCTCCTGCGTGACTGCTGAAAACAGAAGGCCTTGCTCCTCCTCAGCGGGAACACACAACGCGGGGGCTATGTCCTCTGCTGCTCTGTGTATGAATGCCTTTGGAGACGACCACAAAAGCACCATGAGCACTGGTTTTGGGGTTACTCGAACACTTTGGTGAGGCAGCAGATTCCTAAAGATGGGATCTGCCAGCAACGAGGCCTCAGTTTCCTTGCAGGGCTGCCATGAAGCACCCAGAACATGGCCCAGCTCCCATGCACCACCCAGAGGCAAAGCTGGGAAGCCCCTGCAGGTAGCAGACAGCACACTGTGGGGACCTGCAGTGGACATCTGAGGAGGAAACAGGAGCACTCACTGACGATGTGGCCTGTAGTCTGGAAAGCCAGCTCCACGATGTTCCCATCGTGGTCAGAGGCTGCCTGGTGGAACACGGCAAAGATGTTCTTCCAGCCTGAGCGGATGTTGGCTGCCTGGGAATTCACCATCTGGGCGACACAGCGGATCACCATGTCCCGGATGGTCGGAGACCTGAGGGAGGAACGGGACGGCCATGTCATCTGTGCTAAAGGAGGGGCTGTGGGAAGAGAACTGGGCACAGCTCGTCGCTCACAGGCAGCATGGGTAAAAGCACATCTGGAAGCAGATGGTGATCACACTCCTTTAGGCTCTGCCCCTTTCCTCTTGCTCCATCCTGAATCCAGCAAGATGTCAGCACCAGTGCTACTGTCCTGCCACCAGGACACACTTGACGAAAAGCCGACCCTGTGGATGGCTGAAGTAAGCCTGGTTTGCAAAGGCCACCAGGGCTTAGGAACCAGAGCTGGGACTGCCTGCCTGACTTTGTGAGTCAACAGTGTACAGCCTGTGGCTGAAGCCACTATTGGTTGGGTTTTCTGGTCCAAAGCATTAAAGCTAATGTACTTAGAGTTCTGCCACCCAGAGAGAACTGTTACTAAATTCTTGGTCTCTATTCTCTAAGATTTTTTGGGCAGGGATATCATCAACATATAAACATGGATTGGAGCACACATATACATAATTTAAGATGCAATATTTTAAATTATTACCAAACAACACCTGAACATTGAAAAATGGCCCATGTCCTCAAACAGTGGCAAGTTAAACACAGTGTGGCCTGAAGACACGCCGCAGATTGGCATGTACATGTACGTTCTATTTTATTTTTGTGTAGTGCTGGAACTGAACCCAGGATTTGCATAAGCTATGTCCCCAGCCCTTAAACGACATATATGTTATAGCAGATTTTGCCCACTTGTTAAAAGTGATATATGACAACAATAAGTTTTTAAATATTTATTTTTTAGTTGTAGTTGGACATAATACCTTTATTTATTTATTTTTATGTGGTGTTAAGGATAGAGCCCAGGGCCCTGCATGTGCGAGGTGAGCGCTCTACCACTGAGCCACAACCCCAGCCTCGATAATAAGTTTTTTAAAATGCAGATAAAGTACAATAAACTAAGAATTTCCCCAACATTTTTCACAGTCAAGCAATATACCTGGCTGTGGCTTTAATACTTGAACAGTTAGGTATTTTGTTCTTTAAAGAACTATTCTGTGTGATTCACAGTGTTTTACTGTATCTCCAACTAAGTCCTTGAGAGAGCTATGGAGGTGTGGGACTGCTGTGTCAAATGGCACAAGACGCTAAGGTTTCTGATGCACTTTATCAAAGTGCTTTTGCAAATGCTACAGCAAGACGCAGTCTGAGTGACAGTAGCTGGCTGCAACGTGAGATTCTAGCTCATTCTGTCCCTCTGAAAATGCTGGGTGGGCAGGAAAAGGACAAGGAAGGACATCAGGGCACAGGGGTTCTGGAGCCAGGAGGCTAGAGCACACTGCTTAGCCATGGAGGTCTCCAGTCTCCCCAGAACTGTCTGTGTTTCCATGCAGAGAAGCATATTATTTTGTGCACTTGGCCCAAACCAAGGGTGACATCAGATTCTGAAATGGGCTTGACTTGGAGTCTCTTAAAACGAGAAATAAGACAAGAACACAGACCCCATGAGAAGGACACGCCAAGGAGACTTCTGCTGTCTGAGTCACGACCCCACAGTCCCATCTGGCCTCAAGCCTCCCAGCTTGTCAGCTTCCTTGTCTTTGCAGACATGCAGCATGATTTTTGGAGGAGGGCGACTCAAAGGGCCATGCCCCGAGTCACCCTGATGACTTTTCCTCTCATACTCTGCAGCCAACCCATCAGCCCGTGCTGGCGGTTCCCCTTCAAAATGCTCAGAGTCCAGTCCAACACCACCACCGCCCTGTGCAAACCTAGAAGTCTGCGGTGGCCTCCTAACTCCCTCTGTTGCTTCTCATCTTCATGGATAAACACAGGGGGGCTTTTAAAACGTGTCACACCACTTTATATTGCTCCTTAGAATCCTTCCTCAGCTTCCGCCTCTCACCCAGAGCAAGCCAAAGTGCTTGCAAAGGCGGTCAGTTGTTACATGATGCAGGCACCCTGCTGCCCTGGGAGGGACTTCATCTTCTATGACTTTTTGCCGTGTTCACTAAGCCAGCTGGCCTGCCATGGGGCAACCGCCCTAGCTCAGCGCCCTGACCCCACCCTCTTGCCAAGATGGCACAGAGCTGCTCTGGGCTTGCTCCTCTCTTCCCGTAGGTCCTGCCTAAGGGCCACCTTGCCAAACAGAGCAGAGCTGACTGCCCCGCAAGGAGGGCCGCACCCCGATTTCCTCGCCACCATCTAACGTTGGTCACAGCACCCGTCCACTGGCTTGCTATCCAGGTTTGCTTATTCCCCTGGGATGTAGACAGATATTTGGTTTTTGATTTTATTATGGAAAATTTCAAACATGTAGGAAAATGGACAGGATAGTACATGGAACTCCTGTGTACTCACTGCGTAGCTGCAACTTTCATCAATTCAAAGCCCCCCAAACTGAGAATTTTCACTGTTGTGTTCTCTGCACTTCATGGTACCCAGCAGAGTGCGGGCCAACAACACATGTAAATGACTGCTTCACAGGGATGGGGGACCTGCCCTGTCTTATCGTCTCCCTGGGGCAAAAACACTGGGTCACCTAATTTCTGAACTTCTTCCAGAGTGGCTTTCTCTAAATTCTCTCAGCATTGGCCCCATAAGAGCATGTGACGTATTTCTACCAGTTGTATAAGTGTCACCTGTCTTTCTGGGAGGGGATACTCATAGACCTTGGTGACAAGTGGTATGAACCACAATCTGTTCAGTCAACAAGAGAGGGATTTTTGGACCCCAATGGGGAATGTGACAAAGGGTTTTCCTTAGCAATAAACATTACCTGTTCTTCTTCATAATATGCTCAAAGGGCCTCAGAAAATCTTTCTGGAAACGGAAGTTGGCTAATTCACCCTTCTCCAGAAACTTCATGGAGAGTTGCCGTAGCGAATCAACAGCAAAGATGGCCACATCTTCATTGGGGTTGCAGCCAACCTGAGCAGGAACAGGAAGTGCAGTGAAAGAGGGACAGTGTCACAGTGGCTGTGGCTCCAAATGTCAAAGATGGACACCCTACCCGCAAAACAAGCACTCTGGGAAAAGATACCCACGGAGAAAGAAAATGCAATTTCTTGGCCACAATCTATCCTATTTTATCTAAGTACAATGATGAAAAGAAAGGCCAGCATCACATTTTCTTTTAAATAAAACTTTTTTTTTTTTTTAGTTGTAGATAGACACAATACCTTTATTTTATCTATTTATCTGTCTGTGGTGCTGAGAATCAAACCCAGGGCCTCACACACCCTAGGTGAGTGCTCTTCCACTGAGCCACAGCCCCAGACCCAGAATTACACTTTGAATTAAAGTGCTGGCAGGCACGGTAGCTTATGCCTGTAATCCCAGTGACTTGGGAGACTGAGGCAGGAGGATCCCAAGTTCAAAGCTAGCCTCGGCAAAAAGTAAGGCGCTAAACAACTCAGTGAGACCCTGTCTCTCTAAATAAAATACAAACCCCCTGCTAGAGACTGAACCTTGATAAGCCACACCCCACCAGGCCTTTACCTTAACCATTTCTAAAGGTCTAGTTCAGGAGCACACATTCGGAATAAAAAATCTCTAGATTTCATCTTGCAAAATGAAATTCTGCATCTAGTTTACAACTCTCTAGGTACTATTTAATTTTACCCAAAAATATATGAGGGGGTCAAAAGACTTTACAGTCTATAGAAAGCTCCCTGTCCCATACTCCAGTACTTGGGATTGAACCAGGGATGCTCTGCCACTGGGCTACATCTATTCCTTTTTATTTGTAGATGGTCTCACTACGTTGCTAAGGCTGGCCTTGAACTTATGATCCTCCTGCTTCAGCCTCCCAAGTAGCTGGGATTACAGGTGTGCACCACATACCAGGCTTAGAAAGACTTGTAATACTTTCCCAGTATCTGCCACTTAAAGCAAAAGACTATAAGTGAATACACCATCAGCCCTGGAAAATCCTACAGAAACACTAAGCTTTTCAATTTCCTAAGAATTATACTTATTTCTGATTCACCTCCCTTTAGAGACTAGAGTTATGGGCATATAGTCAGTTGGGGTATTTCAGACTTTCCCCTTGAGAAAAATCCCTAAAAGCAGAGCAGGGCAGTGTTTCCCACCAGTTCCACTGTCAAGGGATCTAGGGGCATCCTGCAGACCTGCGTGAGAAATTTTGCTAATATGTGGTCTGATCTGAACAAGGCTGTTTTTGTTTTGTGGTGCCTGATAAAATCCAGGGCCTCATGCATGCTAGGCAACTGCTGAACGACATTCCAAGTCCCTGAAAGTGTTTTATTTTTTAACCAAAGTTATATAGCAACATCGTTGTTTTCCCCCATGCTGGTAATAGAACTCAGGGGCACTCTACCACTGAGCTAAATCCCCAGCCCTTTTTATTTTTTTATTTTGAGAAAGGGTCTCACAAGGTTGCCTAGGCTTGCTTGAACTTGAGATCTTCTTTCAGCCTCTGGAGTGGCTGAGATTATAGGCCTGTGCCACCAGGCCCAGTGCAGCATATCATTTATACTCAGAAAAACTGGAAACAACAATATGAAAACGGCTACTTAATGGTATGTGCATATATGCAGACTACTGTCTGATGGTTAAGACAGTAAACTCAGCCTTAAAAAGGAAGGAAATTCCTGGTGGCCGCCAGGGGGTAAGGGGAGGGGAGAATGGGGAGTTTGTGTATAATGGGGACAGTTTCAGTCTCACAAGATGTGGAGTCCTGGAGACCTGCTGCACAACGTGAACCTCCTGAACACTGCCGAACAGTGCATTTAGAGTAAAGGAACCAAGACAATGCTCTCTATGCTCCCATCAGCACACAGACATGTATGTGCATAACAATGTCTGTCGGGGGAAAGATATTTCCTGACTTGATGAGAATAATCCGCTTCAGGAAGGGCCTGCTGTGTGTGCGGGTGGTCAAAAGTATTTTCAGTTGTAAGTTCTTTTAAAGGGACCACATTTTTATAATGTTCATGCAATTAGAGACTATATATAAGAATATTCTCCTCCTAAAAATTTATGTAAAACAGATGCCTTGGCACAGGCCACGCTCACTGTGCAGCTTCGCTTGGCCCAGGCTGCAGCACCTGCTGCTACTTCTGACGAAGAGCCTCACCTTGTTAAGTTACAGCTGTACTGAGAGTTAGGTTAGAGCTGTGTTCCACCCCCACATTTCTTCAGACCCATGAGAATGTTATGTGGCCTAGTTCATAGCAGGAAGCAGAACATCTTTCCAAAAAGTAGAAAAACTGAGAGTTTCTCAGTGAGGGACTGAGTTTTCCATGACTGGTTTACCAGCACTGATTAGATGGAACAGACATTTATAATGAAGCTGACAACCATGACATATCTAATTACTACCCGCCAGCCTAAGTCTCAAGTTTCCCTGTGAGTGGCCCTCGGATAACTGAGAACTGCACACATGAGTCCTGACAGGTGGGAAGAGTAACTTGCTCAAAATGACGTTCCTTCCCAACAGAGTCCCAATGAAAACGATATCTAGACTTGGAGGAGTTGGGAGAATGTTCATCAACGCTCTTCTGGACAGTCGTTCCTGAGAGGACAGCTGTCAGCCAAAACATCTTGTGGAATGAACGAGCAGTGTTTGTTCTGCTCAGCTGCCACCGGCCTGGACCAGGCACAGCAATGGTGATGATTCCCACTGTCTTCCTCAAGCAAGCTCACAGCTCCTCCGTGGTCCAGCAGGAGCCTGTGCACCCTCAGTGAGAAAGCTGGTGCTGAGGGGCTACTACCTTAGATGCACATGTTCCCTTTGACTGAAGCCATTGCTCAGGGCCACCTCCAGAGAGTGACCATGCCACCCCCAAGAACCTGACCCACTGCATGGCCTGACCCTTTCCCATCAGCTACTGTATCATAAAATGTGGGCCAACCCACATAGGTAGAGTCCACTGCCCCAGGAGACACTTGAGTTCTTCTGTTACACAGAGGGGTCTTGATGTGAGCCAATAAGGAAACACAGACTGCCAAGAGCTGCTGTAAAGATAAAATGGCCACAATGGATGTTGGAGCAGGTGAGCAACCGCCTGAGAACGAATGGTGCCCCACACTTCCCTATTCCACGCTTACTGGCATTATGCTGCCAGCTTCAAATCAGCCACAGGGAGACCTTCACACCATGAAAATTGATAGAGGCTACAAATCATTTACCAGGACCCAGTGATTGTTATAGCTATACCCCAGTGGCAGCCTACTTTTTTTGACATTCTGTTTTGAATTGCTTTTTAAAAATTTTTTTGTAGTTGTAGATGGACGCATGCCTTTATTTTATTGGCTTATTTTTGTATGTGGTGCTAAGGATGGAACCCAGTGCCTCACCCATGCTAGGCAACCACTCTGCCACTGGGCCCCAGCACCAGCTCTTGAATTGTTTTTTATTAAAACTATTTCCAAGCATCTGTTATAACTCTGCATTTCTAGGCCTGAAAAAATTTCAAGATCATGAAATGTGTTTTGGTAGGAAAACAGTATTAGTAAGCAATTATATCTCCATTAGGAAGCAAATGACATCATACACACCAACACACTTAGATCCTTTTGACTGTTCCCCCTCCAATTTTTTTATTTTGGAAAAGTATATATTTGAATTTTAAATTTCTGTATGTGCATAATAAAACCTGTAGCAGAGAGAAAGTTCATTCTGGCTTACTCCCAGCAATCGTGAGTTTTAGGAGAGTTATCAATTGGTCTTTTGTGTGTTTCTGATTTAAAAACCAATGTTTGGGCTGGGGATGTGGCTCAAGTGGTAGTGCGCTCGCCTGGCATGCATGCGGCCCGGGTTCGATCCTCAGCACCACATACAAACTAAGATGTTGTGTCCGCCGAAAACTAAAAAAAAATAAATATAAAAGAAAAAAAAACTTTAAAAAAAACCAAAACCAATATTAATTTTTTCCAACAAAAGTTTCAAAAGAGTAGTGGTGACAGGAGTCAGAATACAAGAAGTTATGACATTTGAAGGTAAAACTATATGGAACATAACTCTCAGATCAGTAAGGAGGGATTCCAGGATTTCACAAAGCTTTCGAGTACGGAGATATTTGTCTAGCAACTTAATGCTGTCTGCCTCCATCCCAGATGTGGGATAAAAGTTACCTTATTGAAGTGATCTCCAATCACATGCCATATCCGGGACCACTGTAGTCGGATCCGATTCATGTTGTAGTAGGATATCTCCACGATCTTCTGCAGGCTGAACATGCGAGGATGGTGGGGAGAAGCCAGTTCATCCATGGACACAGCACACAGCCAGCGGACAAAGTCAACTACAGGCCAGAGCCAACAACACACGCAAAGCCTCATTAGTAACAGTGGGATGGTCACACACGAGGCTTCTGCAGTGTCACAGGCGAGTCACGTACATACCTATTGCATTTCCATCCAGTCTGGTAGAGCCAGTAAAAATTCTAGGGAGACAAAAAAATAAATATTAGATATGGAAGTTTCTCAAATACTTAGAGTAGGCAGAGAGAAAAGACTTCAAATCTGGCCCTTCACCAAAAATCAGTGATGAGGAATCAAAAAGAACTGGTCAGTGAGAGAGCAGAAAAGTCTACCCCGAGTACAAGAGGAAGAGACACCTCCCCAGGGAAGGGAGGTGACCTGGTGGCAGTGGGGACTAGTGGAGTGAGAACCTCCCCAAAGCTGCTCTTCAGTAAGAGCAATAAGAATGCTGGCCAAAATTATCAAAATTAACTTTTCCACAGTGAAACTTTTAAAATTAACTGCAAGCTAACAAAAATCTGCGGGGTGTTTTTATTTTTGTTTTTTAAGAAAATGGTTGAATCTTGATCTGAATGGTGAGTGCTGTGGTGGCTCAGCCCCCTCCATTCCTACCCTCACCTCCCCAGCTCAACAGGAAGCCTACAACCAAAGCGTCCTGCACAGCCACTGGAAGGAGCAGAACACGGTTCTCAAAACACATTCTCAAAGAGCTCCCATTATCTGACCTGACCTAGTCCTTACTCGGAGCAGCCAGCTCTCCGCCAGGAGGCAGCAGAACAGTCGGGACAACAAGCACCTGGCCAAAGACTTGCAAGGAAAAGCAGGGGTGGGACGGCCACAGGAGGCTGGGAAAAGCTCCCACGGGCTGCTGGGAATGCAGACTGCCAGCATGGGTGCAGGGCTTGGCACACCCAGGAGACTATGATAAGAAGGGGCTCTCATCTGCAGGCGGCCTTGAGTCCTGCATGAACCAGAGGTGAAAGCAAAGGCAGAGCATTTGAGGAGCACCCCCAACATGTCCAGAGTCCTCAGCACGCAAAGGCTGGGAGACGTAACCAAGGCCCAAGGCAGCGAAGGGAATCTGAGCATTAAAGCCAACCCAGTGGAGACTTCAGAGGCCACATGTGGAAAAGAAGACAGACTTTACACAGTTAGTTCAGGAAAGTCACTAAACAAATTGCACTGATGACAACAAAGGCCCTGGGCTGGGAGCTGGGAGCTGAGCCCCAAAGTCGCCATCATGTTACTATAATGTCCAATTTTCAACAACAAAAAAATAGGACATGCAAAGAAGCAAGAAAGGACGCTGGTTCATAGGGAGAGGATCAACTCTCGGAAAGTGCCCCTGAGGAAGCCCAGACGTAAGATTTTCTAGACAAAGTGCTTTTATTTTTGGTACCAGGAACTGAACCCAGGGTTGCTCTACCACTGAGCCACCCAGCCCTTTTAAAATTTTGAGACAGTTGCTGAGGCTGGCTTTGAACTTGTGATTCTCTTGCCTCAGCCTCCCAAGCCACTGGGATTAAAGGCATGCACCACTGTGCCTGGCCTAGAAAGATTTTTTTAGGTTAGTTATTTTGACTATGTCTCAAGAAGTAAGGATATTATGTCCAATTAAAGAAAGACGTAAGGACAATCTCTCACCAAATAGAGAATAGTAACAAAGAGACAGGAAAAATGTTGATTAAACCTTCTGGAGTTGAAAATAATAAAGCTATAATGAAAAATTCACTACAGAGGCTAAACAACAGTTTTCAGCTGGAAGAAGAAAAAAAATTAGTAAACTGGAGGACGAGTCAAATAAGACCGTCTGATGTCATGAGCCGAAATAAAAAATTTAAAAACCAAACAGCTTCAGAGTCGTATAGGCCACCATCAAGCATACCAACATGCACATAATGGAAGTTCCAGAAGAGAGGAACTAAAAGAACATGTGAAGAAATAACGGCTGAAAACTTCCCACATTTAATGAAAAATAATAATCTATACCTCTCAGAAACTAAACAAATTTCAACGAGGATAAACCCAAAGAAAGTCACACCCAGAAATATCATAATCAAACCTCTGAGAGCCAGAGATGGCAAGAGAATCGTGAAAGCAGCAGGGCCGCAGATCATCGCAGACAAGGCTCCCTTGAGAAGATGAACAGCTTGTTTCTACAGGAGACCACAGAGGCCAAAAAGCATGGGATGTAATGGTTCAAGGGCTGAAAGAGAGATCATCAACCAAGAATCCTATATCCAGCAAGACTACCCTTCAAAAATGAAGAAGGAAGACATTCCGAAGTGGGGGGGGGGCTCAAAAAACACTGTGACAATTCCTCACCGGCAGACTTACCCTGTGAGAAATACTCAAGGAAGTCCTTCACGTGGAAAGGAAACTAGAGAATAACTTAAGACTGTATGAAGAAATGAATGAAGCAAAAAAAAGAAGGAATTAAAGAGAAAACAGACAATTCAAATATTTAGAACAGGAAAATCTATATAAAATAGAGCAGTGGCCAGAGGCATGAGAAGATGAGGAGGGGGAACAGGAAGTGGGGAGCAAACGCGAATGAGCATGAGGCTTGTCTGTGGGGTGGGGTGGTAACTGGTAGGGAACTAGACAGGGGTAATGGCCACACGACTCTGAGCACACTACAACACTCTCTAACCTGTACATTTTAAAACAACCATATCCAATGGCATGGGAGCTATGGATAAAAAAAAAAAAAAAGGTACAGCAGAAAAAGGTACTGAGCAAGATCTCTATTGTCTACTGTCTGGCTAAGGCAGAGAAACAGGAAAACAAATAAAGATAACGGGAAAACCCACTTCACCCATCAGGTGCAGGGGCACGAGCCTGTAGTCCAGCTACTTAGAGGCTGAGGGAGGAGGCTGACTGAGCCCAGGGCCAGTCTGGGCAACACAGTGAGACCCTGACTCATAAAAATTGATTTTTTGTTGTTGTTGTTGTTGTTCTGTAAGTCTAAATTGAAATAGGATTGGGGGAAAACTGTCAAAATTATGTCACAGACAATATTTTTGTTGAAAAAATAAAGCAAAGAAGCAACTGGAACAAGGTGATTAAAATATTAAAGCCTTTATTTGAATGCTTTTCTTCATTTAAGGTGATTAAAATAAGCAGACAAAAGTTTATAACAGTAAAAGATTATTCCAAGAATAATCCAAATTATTTTAAAAATCTGTACTGCTAACACCCCAGAACTAACTATATTTAATGTCCTGGAAGAGGTCATTAAACAGGATAAGCAGTGGTTCCTTTGATATTCATTCAATGTAATTTTTAGGAGTTTGTTGATTTTAAGGAAATCCCTATTTTATTAAGCAGTTGAACATCACAAATATCTTCAAATAAGAATATCTATCTCTCTCCTGGATTGTTAGGCCAAGTTTCAAGTAAACAAATAGTGGAAAGGCTTTGAGGAAGAATTCATGGAAACTCAAACTTGGGCCAATTTTCACTCAGGAGTATGCTTTCAATCCCAAACTCTTCTGAGATTTTTTAAAAGTAACTTCCACTAAGAAAACATGGTAATTTAAACATCAGTATGAGCAAAAGCAAAAAAAAATATTGTGATGTTACAATGTTAAAATTATAAATTTTTAAAAAGGCACAATGCAATTCAAGGTCAAAATTTGAAGAAAGGTAACAGTTACTGATAGTTGGGTCATGTGCACCATCTTTTTAAAAAATATTTTTGTAGGTGTAGGATGGACACAATACCTTTATTTGTTTATTTTTATGTGGTTCCTGGGATGGAACCCAGTGCCTCACACATGTCAGGCAAGTGCTTTACCTCTGAGCTACAACCCCAGCCCCGCCATCTTTTGTCTTTCTAGAGCCAACAGCATAGCCAACAAATTAGGAGTCATCATGCCCAGTCACTACACAGAGGACCCCATTCAAATCACGGGGTAGTCCAGCCTTACTAGAGAAGAGAATCATTACCTGTCCACGGCAACAACCACACTCTGTGAGCTGGTCTCACCCACAGACTCCTGGAAGCTGGCCATCTGTCTTCTATCCACGCCACCACTCACCAAATTGCCTGGAACACGATGCACAAAATTAGCAAACTTCAAAGAGGCACGGATTTACAACAAAGTATCCTTTGCATCAACATGCAGACAAGGGGCAGAAATGAGAAGGTTCCACAGGCAAAAACAAAAACCCACTGATGACAGAATACAATCACACATGTTTTGGTATTTAAAACACGCCCTTATTACAAGCTCTCTTGTTTGGTACCAGCCACCTCCCAATCTCTACAGTATTTTACCTTTTTATAGTATTGAAGGCCCATGTTTAAGAAAACTAAATAGATTCAACGGACACTCACGCAGAGCTCCGGAACCCGCAATGGCTCCCATCTGCTGGATGCCTGGCGTGCTCTAGTGTCAGTGCAGCCGCCCTCACAAGCACCCTGAGAGGTGGGTCTGTCACATCCCTGCTTCCCGAGAGCCCAGGCTTTTATCTGCTGACTTGTGCTGCTCCAACCCCTGTGCTCTGGAGCCCGAGGCAGGAGGATTGCAAGTTCAAGGCCAGTCTAAGCAGTTTAGCAAGACCCTATCTCAAAATAAGTGGAGAGGGGCTGGGGGTGTGCTCACCTAGCATGTGTGGGTTCAATCCCCAGACTGGGAGAGGGTGAAGGTACAGTGAAGACAAATTACTCTCATCTTCTTATCAACCACACACACACAGGCTCTAGCAGCCTCTTCCCTGCATTTGGATGGCGAGGCTTGAACCCTGCCTCTGCTACTTCCTTGCCATGTGACCTTGCTCAAGTCACTCACCCTGGGCTTCAGTTTTCTCAATCACAAAACAGGGAGAATAAGACTTCAAAATGTCACTGGGTTGTTAAGAGGATTAACTGAGTTAAAATATAAACAGAGGGGCAGGGGATATAGCTCAGTTGATAGAGTGCTTGCCTCGCATGCCCAAGGCCCTGGGTTCAAACCCCAGCACCAAAAAAAAAGAAAAAAAAAAGTTATATACACACACACACACACACACACACTCATATACACATAGAAGCTGAGTGCTCAGAACTTGACCATCTGTTATTCTGTACATCACTGACAGACGAATCTCTTAACCCACTGTGGAGCCAGAAATAACTCCACTTGAGCTAGCACCCTGTTTAACAAAGCCCCCAGGAACATGATGAGATGCCGGATCTACTCTCCAAGTTCTAGAGACCCACAGGTGTGGCCTCTCACACTAGAAACTGGCGTGGGCTTCAGAAAGCACGAAGGCTTCCTCCCGGGATGTTACAGGAACAAAAAGAACAGTAATGCACCCTGCGGATTTTGGTAAAATAGACACTTTACTCAACATTCAAGCACAATCAGGAGCTGAGGCAGCACGTCCACCTGCGTTCACAGACGTGCTGTCAGCGGGCGCGTAAGGAAGAGACGGTTTACGGGACAGTCCTGACGAGACAAGAAGGGCTTCATGCCGGTTAGTTTGCAAGTCTGTGGCGGCCAGCCGTGGGGCTTGCTGTCTTACCAAGGCCGAGGCCCATGAACTCTTCTCCTGCCAACACGTGGCCTTTCAGGCTCCCTTCTCTTTCGCGCCCAGTCCCAGACAGGTAGCGGGTCTTCACCCCGGTTCCTATCAGTTGAGCGAGCTCCAGCTGGCTGATGCATTTCAAGATCTGAGGAAAGGGCAGTGAAGACATGAGCTCCCACCACGCAGGGCGCAGGCTGGAAGGGCGCTGCTAGCTACGCCAGCCATCCAGGCATTCTCTGAACCCAGCGCCTTCCACGTGAGAGCAAACTGAGGGCTAAGGGTGTTTCCCCTAGAGGGCAAAAGGACTGGCCAAGCAGCGGCAAGTGTCCTGTGAAGACGGACCACCAGTACGCTACCTCTTTCTAATTATTAAAAACAGACACTGATGCACCAAAGTTGGTATGCTGGGATTCCGCCATACTGAAGTTTATATAACTTGGCACGGATTCAACAGAGGAAACAATTTGAGTGGAGCAGAAGATTCCATCCCGTCCACGTAGTCTGCCCCGCCCCCACCCCATCCGCTGCCCTGCCATCCACAACACACCAGCCTCCCTGGCCTGCACAGGACTCTTCACCTTGCCACCGCTGGTCCCACCCAGGGCCTTTGCTCCTGCCATTCCTTACATGGAGTGCCTACATGGATTCCCAGATCAGCCCCAGAGAGAGCTTCCGGCTCTCCTGACCCCGCTCCCATCACCACCCCCTGGTCCTATGTAAAGGTCTCCTGAGCACTCACCACTTCTTGGCATTGCACCCTAGTTGCTCATTCTTCCCTGCGTTAAGTGTAAGAGAGCATTATTAACCGTCTTCCTGGCTATCTTTCAGATTCATGAGGAAGTTAGGCTTGCTCTCAGGAAAAATGGAACAGACCCAGAGGAAGCAACCCTGGGAAAGGCAAAAGACCCACCTCGTGCCAAGAGTTCCCGAGGTAGTTGCCGTCCGTGTGAGCCACTGTAATAAGTGTCTTTATGGTGTCGATGTTTTTTTGCTTCATCTCTGTGATGCTGGAGCTGGCCGTCAGCAGGGAGAAGCGAGCCAGGGCCTGAACGTAGGCATCTCGTTCCAGCTGCAAGAAACCCAGGAGAACCCGAGTCCAGCCCAGTGCAGCCACCTTCCCGTCTGCGGGGCTGGGCTGAAGGAATGTCCACAAGCACACAGCAGGCTTTCTGCACATCAGCACACCATCCGTGCTGGTGTCCTGCTACTGGACACCCCTGAGGCTCCCTGGGCACTGCCACATGCCTGAGAACTAGCTCAATCCACCTGACCTCAAGCACGCTGACCTGTCCTGTGTTCCAAGATTTGTTGAAGGCCAAGAGCCAATATATAAATTCTAGTATCTACAACAATCCTGTGAGGCAGTTCATTTTCTCAAGTGTATGAGTAAGGATATGAGCAATGTCTTACAAGTTAGCTGGGCCAGGGCACAGGGCCAGAGAAGCACTAGAGCTGGGTTTGAAACCATGACTGTCTGACTTTAAAGCCTGGCACAATAAAAAACCTAACTGTAAAATGAAGGGGAAGAGAAGACTGGGTTTTATTTGTTTGTTTGAAACAAACGGGTAAAACTATTACTGACTTAGAAAGTAATGCAAAGGACTGACAACCTTCTATGACAACTTCCATAACAGCTTTAGAATTGTATTTCATCTATTCACTGAACTTTTTAAGATTCCAAAAAGATTTACAGACATTCACTTTGCATTCAACTATGTTTTGCCAGAGAAAAAAATGGGAAATTATAATAAAAATGGATTTTAGGAGGAAAAAGCAATTTTGCAGGAGGTGTTGGGGCCTGAACCCAAGGTCAAATGCATACTGGCAATGCATTCTACCATTTAGCTACACCCCTCAGAATAAACGTATTTTAAGTGCCAAGGCAGTAAGTCAGGCATCAAGTAGCCTGGGTCCTATTCATGGTTAAAAAAAGTTTTGATCTAGGCTGGGTGTGGTGGCACACCCTGTAATCCCAATAGCTTGGGAGGCTGAGGCAGGAGGATCGTGAGTTCAAATCCAGCCTCAGTAAAAGCAAGGTGCTAAGCAACTCAGTGAGACCCTGTCTCTAAATACAATTTAAAATAGGGCTGGGGATGTGACTCAGTGGCAGAGTGCTGAGTTCAATCCTCAGCACTGAAGGAAAAAAAAAAAAAAAGGCTTTGATCTAAATCTCCAGCATCCTCCCCTGATGGGGTTGTGGTCAACACAGAGCGATGGGAAGAAGCCAGCAGTGTGCTAAGATGCTGGCTCACCGAGAAGTTTCCGACAGTGTCTGGCTTTCGCTGACTCTACAGGAACAGAGCGCCCACACACTCCACTCACCTGCATCCCAAAGATGCAGGCAATTCGGATGGCACAGCGGATGCCTTCCAAACACAGGGAGGCCACTTCAGTGTCGTCACAGTTCTGCAGTCCAATGCTGTAGGCTGCCAGCAGCGGCGTCCACACCAGCTACCAGAGAAGGCAGGTTTCAATAATAGCCAGAATGTCAGCGTGGGAAGTGTTCTTGCAGGACATGTTGTAGGTTAGGGGGAGAGCTGGGGTGTCAGGTTCACTGCTATTTAGATTTCAATCTATCCCCCTCCCAAGGTAAGATAGTCCCCCCTATCACTACAAGCTTGCTAGTTACTGAACACTCGATTCAAAAGGAAGGATGAGCACCACTGCCCCTCCTGGGTATATGGCAGACACCACTAATTAACCAAAGACCCCATTCCCTGCTGAATGTCTATGGAGTTCAAGAATCCCTCCTCACACAGATACCAGCCAGCCATTACCAATGGTGCAAAATAAAACCTGCAAGAGACATATGGACTATAAACTGAGTTTACTGAAAGGCTCCCACTTCAAATTATCTAGACTTTACTTTTTTCCTCCAACTTTCATATGAATTCCTTAGAAATAAGGTCATGGAAGTCCAGAATTAATTACCTAACAGGACAGTAACAGTTTTTATAAAAACTTATAAAAAATGATGTGCTATGTAGGCAGAACATGTATCTTCTAAAGATATATTTAAAATACAGATTTCATCTACTGTCTTTTTCTTTCACCTAAACTCATCTGATAAACTGAGGCCACTGAGGTGAGATGTCCCAATTACACTGTCCTTTCCTCTACAGCCCAAATAACTATTTATTAATTCACTCAACCCACTCCCTGGCTGCCCTCTCAGCAATCTTATATGTCCCCATTTTACAGATGATGAACGGGGACGGGGAGTAAACTGGCCAAGGTGATACAGTGACAAAGTGACAAAGCCAGAACTCAAAGCCAGATGGTCTGATGGCAGAGTCCAGTGTGGTGCTGGAGCTTTCCCAGCATCACCAAAGGACAACACGAGAGACTTGCGTTAGTTCCTGCTCAGACAGGAAGCACCCCAACTGGGCTTTTCCTCCTGCCATCTCCTTAACACTGGGATCCTGCACGTCACCTTCCAGCCGGTCAAGTCCAGCACTGGGTCTAGCCAGACTCGCCTAACCCCTCAGAACACTCACTTTGAACATGGGCCGGACGTGGTCCAAGTGTGTGGCACTGGTGAAGGGGGCTTTGGCGTGGCTCACGGCCTCCATCAGCGCTTTGGCCGTTTTAGCCATCTGCTCCATCTCCAAGTTGTAGAGCAGCCGCCGCTGCTTCTCACTGGCCACGTCTGCAAAGAAGCCTGAGCGTGAGCGGCAGCTGGCTGGGGACAGCCCATGCCAGGAGCCACTTAAAAGGTGCACAGCAACCGCTCCGTCTCATGGGCCTTATAGATATCATCACCACTTTACAGTTGGGAAAAAACAAGCCAGAGAAGTTGGGAGACTTGCTCAAGGTCACACAGACACCACTAATTAACCAAAGACCCCATTCTCTGCTGAATGCCTATGGAGTTCAAGAATCCCTCCTCACACAGACACCAGCCAGCCATTACTGGGACTTGATCCAGCAGCACAGGTCCAAGGCCTGCACTCTCCACCCTGCACTCCACTGCCACTCAGAGAAACTGACAGCTTCACAGGTCCCTGATTAATCAAATTCTAATCAAGTATGGCACAATCACCACTGAAATTAAAGCTAAGTTTTAAGGAATATGTTTTTGGAAGGTAATTAAGTTCCCTGATTACTTATTTTAAATTCCTTTTTGTTCCTAATCAAAACTTAGGAAGATAGTGATATTATGAAAGAACCAACATAATCATAATCATAATAATTAATCACACTTCCTACTCAGATACTTAATATGCAAATTAATTCACCACCAACCTAATTAACCACACCCCGCAGAGCTAGCATAGGGGCCCTGTTGCCATTGGACCTTACTCTGCTTGGTGGATTTGGTCGCCATGGTGTGCTCTTTTGTTTCTTTCATTGCAATTTTCTTGCCTTCTATCTCTTCGTAGATGCTGGAGAGATATTCTTCTGGTAGATCTTTACTATCATTAATACCCCGATTCATTTTAATATACTGTTCTTTTGTCATTTTATTTTTTACCTGAAATTTTAAAGAATATAAAGACCATTTAAAAAATATTCAGTTGCCCCCAAATAATACAAAGTCCCTCCCCCCAAAAGTCGTTAGCCCAAACCTCCCTCCTTATCTGCCACAGAACCCGGGCCCCTGGAGCGAGTACCTGAGGGCTGTGCAAGTCTGTCGTGAGCATGATGATGGAGTAGGCCAGGACGTACGCCGTGTCGGCACTAGCAAACAGAGTTTGCCTGCAAGGAAAGAGCCTCATGTAAAGGACAGTGGCACAGACGCTTCTGGAAGGCACAGTGCTCACTGGAGGCGGCCCGTGCTCCACCTGGAGCCTAGTGTGTGACAGTAGCCATGCTTTCACCATCACGAGCACGGAAACAGCTAACTAAGGATATGTCTTAGTTAGAGTCTAGGCTTCTTTGAAGAAAATTGCTTCAATGTTATTTTATTATTATTATTATTGTTTTTGGTACTGGGGATTGAACCTGGGAGGTCTCTGAGAACGTTTCCAGCCCCCTGCTTTTTAAATTTTAGTTGTAGATGCACACAATACTTGTATTGTATTTATTTATTTTTATGTGGTGTTGAGAAGATCAAACCCAGTGCCTCACATGTGCTAGGCAAGCGTTCTACCACTGAGCTATGACCCCAGCCCCTCCCAGCCCTTTTCATTTTTTGTTCTGAGACAGGGTCTCACTAAGTTGCTTAGGGCCTTGCTAAGTTGCTGAGGCTGGCTGTGAACTCTCAATCTTCCTGCCTCAGCCTCCTCAGCCACTGGGATTACAGGGCCACCATGCCTGGCGCAAATTAAAAAAAAAAAAAAACCTTGCAGAACACCCTGGGCCATGCTTTTTTTGCCTTACACAATAAGAGAAAGACACAAAGAAGTTGATGTGTAGCCTCATATAACATGTGGCCAGCAAAACTGGTCTGTCCTAACTGCCCCAATAGGAAAAGGAGGGGTGTCAAGGATACACAATGAGACACAACTGGGGCACATACTTGGAGCAGGGATAACAGAGCAAGGTTTCCAGGTCCATACAGGGTGTGACATCTAATTATGCCTTCACAGTAAAGTGAACCAGATGCCACCTTTGCTGCTCAGGTCATCTCCTGAGGACACCTGGCCACACACTCAGAGGAGGGGACCAATTAATATGAAAATGGAATTGAGAGGCAAAATTATTATCAGAATGTTCCACTGAATAATTCCTCATCATCCTCACGTAATCCAGTGTGTTCAGACATCCACTCCTGGAGTGGTGGGAAGAGCACGCACCTCTGAGTTAGGACACACCCAGGCTCAGCCCAGCTGCTTACTAGCTGGTTAGTTTTTGACAAGTAGCTCATCTATAAAACAGGGAGGCCACCCAGGCTTGCCACTGACCAGGTGCAGGGCATGCAAGACAGCCACCCATCAAAAAGAACTCAAGATGCAATCACATACTTGTGGGGGTTGAAATTACTCAGCCATTTCTATAGCTTGTTGATCAGTAAGCAACCAAACAAAACCAAAACCTTCAGATCTAGTCCATACATTAAATCAGGGAGCTACTCTTGATTAGAAAAGAGGCACCCAATTACCTCCTCTCAACTCACAAAATTATACTTTTTAAACTAGGGTGGCCAGTTCAGGAGGCAGGATGACCACAAGTTCGAGGCCAACCTCAACAATTTAGTGAGACCCTGTCTCAAAATAAAAATATAAAGGTGTGGCTCAGTGGTACGATGCCCCTGGTACCAATCCCTGGTACCCAAACAAAACAAAACAAAAAAACAGTGAAGTAGTTAATATTAATAGCCTGGGCTTTAGCTGTGTCATCTCAGGTGAGTTACTTAACCCCCCTGTTCCCCAATCTCCTTGTCAACAGAATGGGGACACTACAAGGCTGCTGTGAGACAATCCCTGAGCACAAAGCCAGGTCTGCAGTGAACAGAAACCTTAGTTGTTTGGCACTGTTTTAGAAAGTAAACCCACACCCCAAGCAGATCAAGACTAGTGTCCTGAGGCAAAAAGCTGAGGCGCCAGGCTGGAGGGCGGGCTCACCCCTGGTTGCACTCTATGTATCTAGCAGCAAACTTCTCCATCAGCCGGTCAATCTTCTGGGCTTCCCCAGGGAGGCGGAAACCTTCCAGGAACGTCCGCAGGGCAGAGACGAACTCCTTCTCACAGAAGTCCAGCTGGTCCACGTAGGCGTACATCACCTCCTTGTTGAACCTCGTGCTGTCTCCCAGAAAATCACCTACCTGGGTCTGAAACACGCGGAACACACTCGCTCACTTCAAATAAGAACCCACAGCAGAGGACACTGCCCCCGGGATCAGGGCCTGAATGTCCACAACAGGCTGAACTGCCTCCTGCTTCCAGACCAGGGCTGCTGCCGTGGAGGGAGGACGAGGAGGACGGGCAAGAGACTCAACAGTGCAGGGAGCCCTCACTGGGCTGCCTCACGAGAGGGGCAGGGGCAGATGGGGCTAGCTAAGGGACATTTCTGACAGTTCCACCGAATAAGCAACCGCCTGCTGGGCGGCTCGTTTCCTCTCATGGCTGTGACGAGAAACATGTGCGACACTGGTGGAAAGTGGGCCCAGCGGGCCGCAGGCAGTGTCAGCTCATCCCGAGGTTCCGGCTAGGAGGGCGCAGAAGCACAAAGCAGAAACTCCTGCAAGCTCAGAGCCCCAGACTCACAGAATCCAGGCGCTCCTCCTGATGCAGGAACTGGGCGATGTCTTCCACCATCGTTCCCAGCATGCCCTGCTCCTGGAGAAACTGGATGCCCCTCTTGGGTTTCTTGTTGAAGCTGTTTCAAGAAGAGATGGGACACAGGAGGCTTATTTCAAAACCCAGAGCACAGACAGAGCTGGTACCTGGGGTAATTACACACATCACCATGAACAAGCCATCATATATAGTTAGCAGGGTCCTGTGCGTCCCAGTAGCTTTTCCAAACTCCAACTTCGTTTCTGACTGAGCGACAACAGAGTCTGATGGCTGTCACCCCACCGCCACTCTCCCCTTCTTCACCAGTAACAGGACTCTAGCTGTTCAGTGGAAGAAAACCTGCATCTCCCTGGCTCCCTAGACATGGAACATGGAAGTTCAAGCCAGCGAGATAGAAGCAGAAATGGTGTCAGTACTTCTGGGAAGTCTCTTTAAACGAAGCTGACCACCTTCCTCCCTTCTTCCTCTCTGGAATGTATGTGTGAAGGCTAGTGCTCCAGCAGTCATCCTTATCCATAAGGCAACCCTGAAGATGACAATCATGTACCTCGGGTGGTAAAGCAGACAGACAGAAGGAGGCTGGATCCCTCCCTGAGATTCACCGCAATAACACAGACTGTCCACTTTGGGATTTCCTTTTCTTTGTTCTTTTATTTTTGATTTTCCTTTCCTTAAGAAATATATAATCTAGGTACTGTTACTTTATGTTTCCTATTAAAGGAAGGCAAAGCTTGCTAATGTAAACTAACTTTATACCTGGCCTTGCACTAAAGAGTGAGGTTTGTGTCAGTGCAAAGTGGCGAGTCTGAAAGACACAAAGGGGGCGCAGGCGGAGATGGCCTCAGGGCTTGTTTAGAAGGTGTGGTCCCGAGGCCTCTCTGAGGGGGAACTCTGCCTCATCTGAGGGGTCAAAGAGCCCCGCATTCCAAGGAGGGCTCAGTGGCGAAACAGATGGAGGTGTCTGAGGACCAAGAGCCCATGGTGTGGCTCAGGGAATTAGTGGGAGTGAGGTCACCAGGAAGCCTGGTGTGATTCAGGTGGTGGTGACAAGACTAAAGGGGGTTGCCAGAGCGGCAGCCACACTCACAGCTCGATGCCATGTTCGATGATTTCCTTCTGTTGCTTGATGACCTCGAACTGCTCCGGGTCATCCTGAAAAGTTGTCTGGGTCCCAGAGGACACCGTGGACTCCATGGACGTCACACTACTCCTTCTTGCCATGTCCAGGCCTTTGCCATCCCCCATTTCCTGATCTGTGAGCCTCTCCTGACCTGCAGTGACGTAGAAACAGAGGACACCAGGTGAGCAGGTGGGGTACAGCCATGGCCCCACAAGTACTGGGCAGGGTCCCCCATCCCACGTCGAACAATCTCTGCTCTAGGATCACAGCACGGACCTTAGACCACCAGAAACGTTTTTCATGGAACCTGAAGAACAAATTCAAAACTTCACACAAAAAAATAAGAGGATGTGAAAAGTGAATAGAGAGCAGAACAGGCCCCACTCCCCCAGGCATCCAGACTGACACAGCTCGGACAATTTAGAAAGCGTGGCGTCCATGCGAGAATGAACAAGTCAACAGAACAGAATAGAAAGTCACAGAGGCAGACACACTCACAGGAGAACCTGGCATGTCAAAAAGGGACCCTGGAATCACTGAGGGAAGGGGAGCTACCAGCAAAGAGGAACAAAAGCGTCACACTGCTCCTCCAACACTCCAGGCCCATGAGACAGCAGAACCTTTAAAACACCACGGGTGTGAGCCACAGAGTGTGTGCCCGGTTCCAGGACCACCTACCCGACCCTGCGGGAGGAGGCAGGCGGGGGCTCTCACCGAGGCTGGCCTGGTGGTTGGGATTCACGTAGAGGTCCTTGCTCCACTCCACCATGCACTTGAGAATGGACACAAGGCACTCCAGACCTTTCTTCCTCAGACTCAGCTCCTACAGAACAAAAGTGACACAGCACAGAGGTGCAGGTAAGCCAAGAACAGGCGTCCAGGGGCTCACACATCAGAGAATCAGTGGTATCAGTACTGTGAAGGCTGAAACCCAGGGAAAGACAACAGGGTACAATACGTGTTAAGTCACATAAGCACCTGGCCTCTCCTCCAGTGTTCACTGCGAACATCCCAGTACAACACCAGCTGCACGCTGTCCTAAGGCCAACAAAGTTTAAGAGAGAGTTCTGGGGGGTGGGAGTGGCTGTGGCTGTGGCTCAGCAGTAATGCACTTGCTTGGCACGTGTGAGGCACTGGGTTTGATTCTCAGCATCGCATATAAATAAATAATAAAGGTCTATCAACAACTAAAAGAAAAAATCTTTAAAAAAGAAAAGAAAGTTCCCAGGGCCGGGGCTGGGGCTCAGTGGTAGAGCGCTCACCTAACACATGTGAGGCACAGGATTCAACCCTTAGCAACATATAAAAATAAATACATTGAGGTATTGTGTCCATCTACAACTAAAACATATTTGAAAAAAAATAAGAAAATTCTCATTCACTGCTTGTGGAATTAAAAGAAAAACCTGAAAACTTTAAATAATAGGGTCTTAAACCATAACCCTGAAAAGAGAGAAAAAAACCTGGAATTATGCAGCAAGGGAGTTATTTTGAACAGAATTTATCCCCTAAAAACTTGCAGATGTGTTCTACTTTAAGGTTCACACTACAGGTAAATGAAAACACCGATTTTTTAAAAAAATATTTATTTCTTAGATGGACATAACATCTTTATTTAATTCATTTATTTATATGTGGTGCTAAGGATCGAACCCAGGGCCTCGCACATGCTAGGTGAGCGCTCTACCACTGAGCCGCAACCCCAGCCCCACCCCCCGAAAACACTGATTTTTAAAAATAAGTAGTATTTTTTAAATAAAAAATTACAGGTTATAGATTATCTTTTTTTTTTAAAAAGGCACATTTTAGATTCATAACCACATTAGAGGCAGCACAGATCTGTCAGTCTGATAAAAATTATGACCTTATTCAAGAAAAAAGCCAGAATCCTGTGCCCCATTCCAGGGTGCAAAGACCCTGTGAACCCACTGATCAGGGGCTCTAAGAACCCCTCTTTCCTTGATGGCACGCCAATAATATGGCAACTTCCTACCAACAGGCAGTCTCCTCTCCCATACATAGGCTGGGGTCCTGCTCTCCACACTACTGCTGGAAGGTGATTGGGGGTCTCAGGTCAATGTCACCTTCTCAGGGACACCACTTGATGACCCCTTCACTTATCCCAACCCCCCATGTCCAGTGCTTCTTCTCGATGGTCCTGCTTATTGCTCTCTGCAGTGCTTGTCCCCTCTGGCTGACTGTCTTCCTCCCAGTAACCCCACGACAGCAGGAGCTGTGTGCGTGCTCATGTGAGCTCCGTGCTGTTCACGCCACGTCCCCCCATCTCCTCGTCCCCTCACTCCCCGCCAGTGCCTGGTGTGTGGTGGTGCTCAGTAAATGTTTCGTGAAATGAGAGAATATATCTTACCTGCAGAGGTGTCATTCCCAACTCATGGCCACTTCTTCCCTGAGCAATTTTGGATAAATCATTTACTAGACGCTCGAAAATGTTAGCAGCATTTAGGTCACAGTCATAGTTGACATAAATATCCACAACACACTGGGCATCTTGGAAAACAACATACGAGTATCAGAATTCTGATCAAAGACAAATAGCAGTTATACTTTCTTATTGTTTAAACAAGACTTCTTTGCCAAAAAATTTTCCGAGAACTGATCAGGTGGCTAAGCCTTATTCAGTAAAGACACAGCAGAAGTACTAGGATGGGGTGGTTTCAGGCCTGCCTCTACACTAACCAAAACCTCAGCAGTTGGTCCCAGCAATCCAAGGTTGAATTTCCTCTTCAGAAAAGGAGCTACACCAGGCATGATGGCACACGCCTGTAATCCCAGCGACTCGGGAGGCTGAGGAAGGAGGCCTGCTTCAATCATTTAACAAGGCCCTAAGCAATTTAGCAAGTCCTGTCTCAAAATAAAAAATAAAAAGGGCAGGAGATGTGGCTCAGTGGTAAAATGCCCCCGGGTTCAGTCTCCCACAAAAAAAGCAGGGCTAATGGGGCTCAGGAAGTGGTTCAGTACCTGCCTAGAACACGGAGGCCTTGGATTCGACCCCCAGCAGGGCAGAAACAAAAAAGGAAGGGGCTAATAACTGCCCTACCTATAACTGCCTTACCCATGCCCCTAGAGTCACTATGGAGCACAGTTAGGTTAGATGGCCGATAAGTGCAATGCTTAGTTTGAAGTCCCATACCTAACTGCGTGGCGTAAGGCATTCCAAATTTACCTCACACCCAGTCACGGTTGGCCACACAACAACTTGCAGGTACGATGGCCAGGTGTCCCAGTGTGCTGGGATTAGGAGGTTTCTGGGACACAGGACTTGTAGTGTCAACACCAGAAAGTCCTGGGAAAATGGCTGAGCTGGGGCTGGGGCTCAGTGGTAGAGCACGTGCCTAGCCCGTGTGAGGGCCTGGGTTCAATCCTCCACACCACATAAAAATAAATGAATAAAATAAAGCTATAAAAAAAAGTTACCTCATTAAAAAAAAAAAAAAAGAAAAGAAAAAAGAAAAAGAAAATGGACTGAGCCAGTCATTCTTTAAAAGAGGAGGAAGTGGGCTCCCATCAGGCCAAAGTGGCCGTTCAGGGAACGACCCTCCCAGCACCTCTTAAAGCTCCGCAGAGCGGGTCAGGGTCTTGGTCTGGCTTTGGAAGTGGCTCTGAGTGCTCTGAAGGAAGACGCCTCGGGGGAGCGTACCTGCACAGATCCTTGTCAGGGTCTGAATGACCATCCACCTGTGCTCAAAAGAACTTGTGGACGTTTCTAGAATGTTCAGGAAAATCTCTTTGAAAAAAACCTAAACAACATGGAGACAAAGGAGGATGCTAATTAACAGTTTGGGTTAGGAGTCAAACACCCTGATCCTGTACGGAAGGTGGCCTGCACAGAGACAAGAGGCACACACTTCCTGCTCAAGAGCCTGGGAATCCTGGCCTGACCAGGGGGCAGCTCACAGGGCCAGGCCCCGTCGGGAAGCGGCCAATGCTAGGCTCCCGCCCAGAACTGCCACATGCAAACCCAGGACCATCTGTGTTCCTGATTTTTTGAGAGAAACCAGAAATGTGGATTTTTGTGTAAAATATGATTTCTCAATTTGGCAACTAATTCAAATTATTTCAAATGATCCACAGAACAAACAGATGGAGGGACTGAGCCCAGCACACAAGCCACACACCTTAAACCTCTGATCAAAATGGATGGTGCACAAGAGTTGGGGGCAGAACTGTTATGAGTGAAAGATATTCTCTCACTGATTCAAAAATTCCTCTCCCGAGTGCCAGCAAATAGACTGTATAACTTTAGTGCTGGTGGGTTTCTCATCTGGCACAAATGTCATCAAGTAAGAAAAAATGAATTTGGAGTCCGTACCTCTATCTGCATTTTCAAGTGCATTTTAAAGTTTGAAAGAAGAGTAAGAAAAATGGCGAGAGAGAGCTCAAAGACATCAGGCACTGAAGAGACGCCGTTTTTGGACAAGGCCACACAGAGATACTGCTTGATTGCATTGATGAACATCTCGTGTGTCCTGAAGACGGGACCGGCATTCTGCAACACGGACAAGAGCAGCTGCAGGGAAACCACCTTGGACCGCAGCTCGTGGGATCTGGCAAAGAGAGCGGAAAACAATGACAGCTCTAGAAGAGGAACTGTTCCAGGTGTCTCCTGGGAGGCCCTGCCTGCTCATCCACCGTGCGCAGGACCTTGTGAGGCCGAGGGTTAAGTTAGCCACTGCACCTGAGAGGGCGGGCAGAGGGCAGAAGGCAGAGGTCAGAGGTCAGAGGTGGGGGCTCCTGGCACCTGCAGGCCCTTTAGGAACAAAAGTGGCCAATTCCTATTCTTTTGTCTCCTAACAGAGAACAGGCAGAGGAACAGGAGCAAAGTGAGTGACCAGTGCGTCTGGAGAGCCAGCTCTGCAGCTGAGGAGCCGTAGTCAGTACCTCGTATCATCTGTGAGAGGTAGAGACCTCGCCCACCCTCCACTCTCTTCACCCAGGAGGATGCTGTTCTCTCCACCAGCCTCACAAGCCTCCTTCCACTCCTCCCCTGAGATCAGGGATGGTAAGAAATGGAAGAATATGGTAAGAATGTTATGGTAAGAAATGTTCCTAACATTTGTCACCATACCAGCAGCATTCTATTTTAATTTTTTTGTTGTTGTTGTTAAGTTACAATGGACCCAATAACTTTATTTATTTATTTTTATGTGATGGGGATCGAACCCAGTGCCTGACACATGCTAGGCCAGCACTCTACCACTGAGCCCCAGCCCCCAGAAGCATTCTTTCGTTTTGTTTTGTTTTGTTTTCAAAGGCTGGCTTTGAATTTGCAATCCTCCTGTCTCAGCCTCCCCAGCTGCTGGGATTACAGGCATGTGCCACAGCACCCAGCCAGCAGCATTCATAATAAAAGAACTGAGGATTATTAATGAGCAGTACTAATAACGGCAGTAATAACAGTGACTATAAAGCGCAAGGGCCTGTGCTCAGGGCAACACCCATCTCATTTCACTTAATCAATCCTGCAGGCTGATTCTGGGTTTATAACTTAAAAATAGTTGGTATATAGAAGATGTACCTTCTTTTTTACTTGCTAATAGATTAGAGCGGGGGTCCTGGGAATTGAGCCTAGTCCGCCACTCCTATGGAGGAGCTCTCTCTGGCCAGCCTCTGTACCCTTCACCCCACAGCAGGCACGCCCTGAGGTTTGTGTATTCACTACAGAGAAGCATTTGGCTTCCCTGGGTTGAATCTGGTGCTTAAATCTTTATCCATGAAACCCAAGTTTCCAAACAGGGCAGGGCACATATTCTACAAGCACTCTGTTCCTCCACATCCCCATCAGAAGATTAAATTAGGCCAGGTGTGGTACACTCCTGTGATCTGTAATAACGGCAATTCAGGAGGCTGAGGCAGGAAGATTCTGTTCAAAACCAGCCTTAGCACCTTGGTGAGACCCTGTCTCAAAAAAAAAAAAAGGGACCGGGGACTTAGCTCAGTGGCAAAGCACTCCTAGGTTCAATTTCCAGTACCCGCTCCCCGCCAATCTATTAGTAAGTTAAAAAGAAGGTATATCTTCTATATACTGATTGGTTTTTTTTAATATTTATTTTTCAGTTGTATGTGGACACAATACCTTTATTTTCATGTGGTGCTGAGGATCGAACCCAGTGCCCATACATGCCAAGCGAGCACTCTACTTCTGAGCCACAACCTCAGCCACAATATACTGATTGTTTTAAAGATAAAAACCAAGAAAAGAAAAACTAGGCAAAATCTTGGTTAGTGGAGACAGACGATTCAACAGGAAAGGAGGGCAGGGCGGCAGGGCCTGAAGAGCTGCGGAGCCACGGACTTGTGGGAAGCCAGGAAGGACAGGCACAGAGCCTGCACTCCTGGACCCCAGGCACCGACATGGACAACTGCTGTGCACTTACTTGGGGTCTGGGGGGCCTTCCCCAAGGGGCTTCATGGACAGCTTGCACAGGGAGCGAAATACCAAGAAGGCGTCCTTCTGCAGGATGTGAGAGAACCTGGCGGCCACGTGGTGCCCTTGCACATCTGCCTCCTAAGGTGGAATCAAGAAAAGAAAGGGAGAATGAAACTGCCGCATAAAAATTTAAACTCCTATATTATTCAAAAGGGAGGTGAAGGGGTGTTAGGGGAGGTTAAAATATGGCAAAATAGGTGCTGGGGGAGTCATCGGAGCAGCTCTAAACCTTGTTTCTTATCCTTCGAAAAGTTGACATGGATGGTTAAAAAGAAGTGATCAAAAGTTTATCAAAAAATCTAAAATATAGTCAATTATATTAGCTTGGGTGAGAAAAGTTTTCTAATAGTGCTGCAAGATAAAAAGAAAAATCATATGGCATTTTAACAAACTATCAAAAAGAGTAAGCTACATTTACAAATTAAAAGTAGACATATAATAAGGATTAGTATCCTTCACATATAAAAGCTCTTCAAATTTCTTTAAGGAAATATGCAAACACTCCTCTCAAATGCAAAGCATTCAAAACCAAAACAAATCAAAACACAAATATGCAAATTTACCAAGAAATGCAAATGACAAATGAACTTAAATAACTTTACTACCAATATCAAGGCAGGATTTTTCTCCTATCAAATCAGTAAAGATGTGCACAAATGTTATAGCTCAGTTTTAATAAAAGAATGAGAAAATGGGTATGGATAAGTAGGGATTTGAGTAGTATCTTCCCAGAAGACTAATTTGGTGGTAAGTATCAAAAGCCTTAGTTCCTATCTCTTGAGCTGGGGATGTGGTCAGTGGTAGAGCATTTGCCGAGCATGCGTGAAGCCCTGGGTTTCATCCTCAATACCACATACACACAAAGAGGTTTCTAATTTTCTTTCATTTATTCTTTTTATTTTATTTAGTTGTAGTTGGACACAACACCTTTATTTTATTTATTCATTTGTAAGTGATGCTGAGGATGGAACCCAGTGCCTCGCATGTGGTAGGCGAGCGCTCTACCGCTGAGCCACAACCCTAGCCCCTCATTTATTCTTTATTTTACTCACTCATTCATTCATTTTTGTGGTGCTAGAGATCATACACAGGGCCTTGCACATGGCAGACAAGTACTCTACCACTGAACTATACCTCCAGCCCCAAAGTTTCCTGTTCTTAACCCAGACATATGCTATAGCAATTTATCCTTAAAAAAGACATATGGATATGCACAAGATTTAATTATAAGGATGTTTATTATGAACTGCTCTATGGTGAAACTTAAATACTCTAACAACCTACTATCCATATAGACTTTACATGGCCATTAAAAAATTTAATGAGATCCACTGCTTCTTGGCCTTTTGGAAAAAACTCAGGTAGACCTCTGTGTACTGATACAGAAAGACGTCCATGATGGAGGGCTGAGAGAACAAAGCAAGTCAAGCTAGTGTATCAGACAGGAGGTCCTGTGTGGGATTTATGTGTGTCCTTGAGGGCATTCATGGGAAATGATACACTCCAAGGGGAAAGATTGGTCTTGGGGGGAGGATGAAAATGTACAGTAAACACAGGCATCCAACTTACTGACTGCATCAAAATTTCATAGTGGGGGATAATGATTAGGAGAAATATCTAAGAAGGTTCCTAGGGGCAGGAAGGGTGCAATTACGAAAACAATTGAGAAACAATGGTGCAAAGAACAGAAAAGCTCATAGCATATCACTTCCTGTTCTGGATGTTTACATACACGATTTTTAAAGGGAAAATGAAGCTATTTAAAAGTAATGGTAATGCGGTAGACACATCTATGGGCCTGAAAGGACCTTCAAAACATACTTTAAGTTTTTAGCAAGTTACCAGGTAGCATTTTGTGGTCGAGGACAAGCCTAGCAAGAAGGAGGCGCTGGGTTTGATTCCAGCATCAAAAAAGGAAACAAAAGCAGATCAAAAAATAGCACAGGGCTGGGCTGTGGCTCAGAGGTACAGTGCTTGCCTAGCACGTGTGAGGCACTGGGCTCGATGCTCAGCACCACATAAAAATGAAATAAAGGTATTGTGTTCACCTGTAACTAAAAAATAAAAAATGTTTTAAAAAAAGCATGTATACTATATCATTCTCTTTAAGCAGGAAAATAAAATGCAAGAGGGAGAAAAGTCTAGAAGGATACTGACTTTCCCAGTCCTTCTAACACAGAGAGGAAAAAACAGAGGGAACTATATTCTTCTCTGTTATTTTCTTTTTTTTTCCCTACAACAAATGTGTATTATTTTGAGAAAGAAGAAAAATGGCAGGAGGGCTGGGGTTGTGACTCAGTGGTAGAGTGCTTGCCTAGCATGCACGAGGCACTGGGTTCGATCCTTGGCACCACATAAATGTAAAATAAAGATATTGTGGGCCCGGGCTGTAGCTCAGTGGTTGAGCACTTGCCTCGCATGCGTGAGGCACTGGGTTCGATCCTCAGCACCACATACAAAAAATAAATAAATAAAATAAAGATTAAAAACGAAAATTAAAAAAAAAAGATATTATGTCCACCTAAAACTTGAACGAAACTAGTGCCTCACGCATACGGGGCGAGTAATGGCAGGAAATTTAAGGTCTTAAAAGTGTGAGTAAAAAAGTTTAAGAACAATGTCATAAACAACAAACATTAACATATCCCAAGAACTGAACCTGCAAATAAGAAGAGTATCAGACTAATAACTGAGTAGAGCTTGCTTATTTTGTGTGTGTGTGTGTGTGCACACGTGCGTGCATGCATGGCAGGGGTACTGGGGATTGATTAAACCAGGGGGGCTCTACCATTGAGCTACATCCCCAGCCTTTCCTTGTTCTGTTTTGAGACAAAGTCTCACTAGGTTGCTGAGGCTGGCTTTGAACTTGCAAGCCTCCTGCCTCAGCCTCCAGGGTCACTTGGATCACAGGGTGCACCAAGGCGCCCAGCTTCTTGCTTCTTTCACAAAAAAAAAAAAAAAGACTGAAAATGGACATGCAAACTGGGCAGGGGAGCGTGTACCTACAGTCCCAGTCCGCAGCAGACAGAGGCAGGAAGATGGCTTGAGCTCAGGGGCAACAGTAGCCCTTTAAAATAACTAATGAACAAACAAACGGACAAAACGGAAACCTCTGAACAGGTTGACAGCCGACGTACCAGGTTATCCGCTGACGACAAGGACTGTCTGTCATCTGCTATGCCATTGGTCTGTGAGTTTTCATCAACTGCAGGGGGGATGGCACATTCCTGGCACTCCAGTTCACCCAGGACCCTGTCGGGGTCTGTCAGACCATGCTTTTCTGCTGCTTCTTAAAAGACAAGTGCAAAAGTCATTGCCAATCAGCAGATACCCCAAGAGGCTGCCTGCACCAGATACACACTCCCTCAGATGCTGCGTTTGTCCTGTGCCTCTCCTGCTAGCTCTGATGGCAGGGCATTGGGCCTGGGAGGTGTGCCAGTCTGTCCTCCACAGCCTCACCGCCAGGGCCACAGCAACGCATGATGCACTGGTTCAGTATCACAACCCACCGGTGGAGGCTCTGAAATTGTGCCCACCCTGCCCACTTCTGAAAAAGACTAGAAAGAGCTAAACATAAAAAGCAAAGATTTTTTTAAAAAATATTTCATCAGTCATTGGTGGACCTTTATTGATTTTTATGTGGTGCTGAGAATCAAACCCAGTGCCTCACACATGCCAGACAAGTGCTCCACCACTGAGCCACAACCCCAGCCCCAAAAGCAAAGATTTTTTTTTAAAAGACTATTAATACAGGAATCAGAGAAGAAAGCCTTACAGAGAAAAACACAGGCCTAAACTTCCTGGCAGCCATATGAAATCAGAAAGAATTAAAAAGATTTCATCATTTACTCAAGGAAAGTATATCTGGTGAATAGCAGAACAATGAAACTAAGAGGAATGAATCATTTGGCTTTTTATACATATGAGAAACACTAAAGAACTTAATGAGCAAGTCTTCAGTAACTGTTTTCCAAGCATATATTCATTCAACAAATATTTATCATGTGCCTATTGGGTGACGGGCTGTGGCATGGGTTGGGGAATATAGCAATGAATGAGAACAAATCCTGATTACATGATGACTTCCTGTGCAGACCCAGAAACAAACCTAAGGGTATGAAATAAAACTGTGCTATCTTAAAGATATTTCCACAAGGAGTTAAATGAATATGGAATCTATAAATAGCTTTGTGGCACCCTAACTTAATAAAAGGATAGGGCTTATACAAGTGGATTCCAAATCATGACCAAAGCATGGGGTGTGGCTCTGGGGTACAGCACTTGCTTAGCATGCATGGGGCCCTGGGTTGCATCCCCAGCACTGCTAAATAAATAATTTTTTAAACTAATTTTTAAAACTGAGTCCCAATGCAGATATATGCACATAAATAACCAAAACACAGTACATGAAATAATACTCAGCATCACTACCCGAGGTGTACTCACACCATCGCTACTCTATTTTTTTTTCCTTTCACTTAAAAAAATGCTGATTGCAACCCACTAAAATGTTTTTATTTCTTACCCAACTAGTGGTTTATTGTCATTGCAATCAAGTCAACACATACCAATAAACCTGAGATCTGGGGCAAAAAAAAAGACAAAAACCTGTCATTCTGAATTATGCACAGGTAACACCACTGAAACCAGACCCGAGACAGAGAATGCTGAAGGGAACCTAACAACATGGCCCACTCGGTACCCACTGACATGTGGGCTGTCCCCTGGACACATCGATGCTATCTGAGAAAATTTAGCAGCAAAGGACAGGGATTGTGGGCTCACAACCCCCAGCCAGAAGAGCCTGGGCACCTGGCTTAGTAGGCACAGGGAGTGCTGCTCTGCGTGTCCAGGGGAGCAGGGACTCTAGCACGATCAGATGGCGTTCTCTGAACCCCGTGCAAGTGTGAGCAGAACCAAGCTACTCCACGGAGACCAAGCCACTCGAGAACCCCATGTGAGAGGTGGGCGGGCGGCAGGCGGCTGGCGTTCCCAGAGCTCCGTGAGTTTTCTGGACAGGGAAGAGCAACCACCACCCTGAAGCACTGGCCCGCAGACCTCCAGGAGGAATTAGGTGCTAGGAAGGGCGGGTGCTCCTTGGTTCTTACCTTTCACAGCAGAGGTAACTACATCTTCTAAGATGTCCTTTACCACCTCCTGGGCTCCATCATCAGTCCCTACACACGCCCAAACACACAAGCACAGGCGAGGGTGTTTCCAGAGAAAAGAAAGGAAGGGAAAAAGGAGATTACAGCAATGTTCCTCTAAAGTCACCAGGCAAAGGGCGCTAGTGAGTTCTGCCGAGGGCCTGATCCCACCATGGCGAGGCACACATCCCCTCCAGTTCCAAAATCCTCAGCAGCATCTGCTCTGCTTCCAAGTTTTGCTTCCTGGAATGCTGAGACCCCTGCCCGTACGCTCTTCCTTCCTGAGTCCCAGCTGTGGGCCCAAGGCCTCCCTACCATCCCCAAACAGAGCCTTCACCTCGGCTCCCAACAGTCTTGGTAAGTCACACACCTTCTGCTGCTGGGCCGTCCACGTACGTAAGCCCAGAATGTAGCATGAGATTTTCAAGACAAGAGTTGAGGATTTGCTAAATTGTAAAAAAATCATTCTGTACAATGTTAACTATTTAAGTGGAAGAAGTTTGGCACCTCTTTTCACCCCCATATTTTTTAATTGGTCCATTGTAGTTGTACATAACGAGTGGGGTCTCTTGTTAAATATTCATACATGCACACAATGTAATATAATGTGGTCAAGAGCTTTTTTTTGAAAATTAGTCTTGGGAAACAGTTTATGAAGCAAACCACTTTGTCTAGACTTTTAGAAGTCCACGTAACTGGGGCAGGGATGTGGCTCAGGGTACAGCGCTGGCCTGCCATGTACGAGGCCCTTGGCTGAAACCCCAGCACCACAAAAAAGAAAAAAGTGAATATTATTGATTTACAAAATATCCCACTGACGAGAAAGGCCACCACCTTAAACAGACAAAACAACCTTTTACAATCGGCCTGGAGGAGGATTTTCAGTCCAGCTACCATTTCAGAGAGTTGTGCTGGTCCACCAGGCCCCGGAGGGCGGTGCCAGGGTCTTCTCTTCAACAGAGCACTCCCCGGCCACCTCAGTGGCCGAGCGCACTGCGGGGGTGCCGATGTCACACGCCTTTCTTAGGGGGCACTAAGAACTGAAAAGAAACCGGGGAACCACCCCCCCACCCCTGGCCACAGCCGCAGCCACACTAAGATTCTTAGTGCTGAACTTCAGTCCCTCTCATGCCACCCCGTGTTCTTGCCACATTCACTCACACCACTTAAGATTTTTTTTGGATGTGAGGGTACAGAGGATTGAACTTAGAGGCATTTGACCACTGAGCCACATCCCCAGACCTATTTTGTATTTTATTTAGAGACAGCAACAGAGTTGCTTAGCTTTTGCTGAGGCTGGCTTTGAACTTGCGATCCTCCTGCCTCAGCCTCCTGAGCTGCTCAGATTACAAGCATGCGCCACTGCGCCCGGCATCAAGCACCACTGAGGTTCATATAACAGCGCTCTTTAAATTAACGCACCTTATGCAAAAAAAATCCACAAAGTAACAGTTTGATGTACTAATCACGTTTTCCAAATGCAGGTTTAAATAAACATGTAACTATTAAAAACTGCTCACCTGTGAACCACCTAAAACCATCTCACCCTACACCATGATTGGTAAACACATGACTAAGTTCCTTTCCAGCTCCAACATCCTCTGATACTATGATTTAATAAAGGCTGTTTTTTAATCTGTATTCTCCTTCTCAAAGCAGCTTCTACATGGCACCTTGCTTCCATGCAGCATCAAAACATCGATTCCTTTTATGAGAGGTGCTAGCAAGTGAGCCGGGGCCATTAAGTGGTGGCTGGTGGGCACACCTGGCTTGCAGACCTCGGGAGGGGCCCTTCTGGATGCTAAGAAGTCCACTGTGTTTAAGTTTTAAGCATGCAATGACAGTGTTTGACAACCAAATCAATTCAAATACTTGAAAGGTGCAGAGAGTACACTTAAAAAACACTGGTTCTGCTGGTTCCCTGGGGAAGTCACCACCTTGCCACTGCTGATTAGGCACCATGTGTTTCACACACTGTGTCCAAGCAAAACAGGACGGTCACCTTGAACAGGTTCGGGTGGGAGACACCCTGGGTGCCATTCCCTCTCTAGCCAGCAGGGGCACCCCCCGCGGCCGGCACTCCAGTTACCTAAGCCCACCCTTCCTAACCAACAGGTCCTCATCTTATTTTGGAAAGAAATGTGACTATATTTCCCAGCCTTCCTTTCAGGAAAGGATGGCCATATGACCAAGTCCTGGCCACTGAGGAGATAGCGTAAGTTCTTGGGAACGATCCTGGCTTCCAAGCAGGCCTCTCTTTAGGAAAGGGGACGATTCGGCTGAAGGAATCCTCTAGTCCTTCCCTCTTCCTTCTCCCTGCCAGAAGGAAATGCAACATGCTGAGCCATAAAGACAGAGGTCACATGCTAAGAACAGGACAAAACCCGAAGGCATCTGAGAGGAGGCCTTCCCGCTCCCTGCTCTGTTCAGCCAGGCAGGGAGCAGGCGGGCGGGCCGGGGTGGCACTCCCACCTCGGTCAACAAGCTGAGGGCCTGTGGCCTGGCCCTGCCCCGAGCATGTGGAGCACATCACTGTCTCCAAACAGACCGTGTCCAATGTCCAAGCACTTAGTAAATGAAAGAATAATGAAGGAAACACGGGGGCAGCGAAGCTGTCCTCTGCCACCTCCACCACACAGCAGTATGGTTCTGTGATAGGAGAACAGCCGCTGGCTGAGAGGCCCCCGGGGCCGCTGACTGCCGGTGCAGGTCCATTACAGTGAGGGGACACCCAGTGAGGGGACGCCAACGCGGCCGACTCCTGTGAGGCGACTGTCGGCACCAGTGCAAAGATGTGGGGTGCACTTGGCTACTTTTGTCGAGCGTCAGCCTGAGACTTCTTCCTCTTTTGGCCAACAAAACGTAAAATTCCTACAGCAAAAGATCTCGTATGAGCACGCAAAGGAGCCAGGCTCATTTTATCCTACCGCATCATCTCCCCCACCTTCTCACCTGGTTACCATCTGAAATATTTACTATTTTTCTTTAAACCAACTCATTTTTTAAGCTGAAATGAATTTATGTATTTATTTATTTTGGTATTAGGAATTGAATCTAGGGGCACTTAATCACTGAGCCACATCCCCAGGGTCTCACTAAGTTGCATAGGCACCATTTAGTTGCTGAGGCTGGCTTTGAAATTGTAATCCTCCTGCCTCAGCCTCCCAAGCCTCTGGGATTACAGGTGTACTTCACAGCACTAAAAGATAATCATAAACTGGACATGGTGGCATACGACTGTATTCCCACCACTTGGGAAGCTGAGGCAGGAGGATCACTTGAGTCCAGGAATTTGAGACTAGCCTAGGCAACAAAGGGAGACTTCTTCTCAAGGAAAGAGAAGAAAAAAAGAATAAAAGACTTACATAGTCCTAAGTGCCAGGCCCTGCCCTTATTTAATCTCACAAACTTGTAAATATTAGCTGTATCCCCATTTTAAGATGGGAAAACTGAGGCCCAAGGGCCACACAGTTACTAACAAGAGTCATGATCCCACAGAGGCTGCCTGATCAGGGCCTCTGTATTAGCTGAGGGAAGATAAGTCTTCTCTGTTTCTAGTACTTAAGAGTGGGTTGTTTTTCCTCTAAAGAATGAGATGTAATAAGAAAAGGTGAGCTAAGAAATTCAGAAACACACAGGCAAGTCTGCACACTGTCTGTATGGCGCTACTGTCCAATTCTGGGAGTGACAAGTGGAAGAGGAAGTGCTGAGGGACACAGGGTTTCTTCGGGGAGTGATGAAAACGTCCTGAGACTGACTGTGGCCACTGCTGCCCGCCTGAGGCTCGAGCCAGCAGCACTGAGTCGCACACTGTCAAGGGTGAGTCGATGGCGTGTGGATTCCATCCCAAGAAAGCTGCTTTCTAAAGGACGGACAAGAACAGATGGGGAACCAGGAGGGTGGTGAGGAGGTAATGGCATGGCTACCCTAGGGGAGTCCAGATGGCCAGGCCCCCAAGTTCACACAGGCAGGCAGGAGTCTTGAACTCAAAAATCTCATTTTGTGAATTTACAAAGAGCAATCTGACCCACTTCTTGGATGGGCAGTTGAAATGGACAAATCAACTACTGATTTATTAATGTAGGATAAAAAATTAACTGCTAAAGGGGAAACTGCTCAGGTCTATTGGTGTCTTCACTCCACCTACGCAAGGTACCCGGGGAAGCAAACGACCCCGGGAAGGCCCTGGGAAGGTCCTGGTTCATCAACAGGAGAGTGTGGCGAATGCTGGGTCCGCAAGCACAGGGCCTGGCAGTGAGTGGCCGGGGGGACTGGCTGCAGGAGGGCTGTATGTGACTGTCTCTATCAGAGAGGCACTCGAGTTGACCCCTGGACACCAGCTCCCCGGGGCAACACCCCCACCATCTGCCATGGCTGTCCTTCCTCCTTGGCTTCTTGGGCTGCTCAACTCGTCTCCAAAGGACTTGTTTTTCCTTTACAGCCAAATCCTGAGAACTGGAAGCGCTTCTAAAAAACACTGTGCACCTCTGTTCTGACCACTCTTCACAGGTTTGTGGTCTGACTCTCGAGCCCCTGGGAAAAGCCCTCAAGTATGCCAACAAATGTCCAGCAATGACAAATTTAGAACCATCAACTTACACTTACAGTAGTTTCAATAATAAGCTTTATGTTACAGATGTTTACCACAATAAAAACTGATTGACATAAAAAACCCACAGCATCTATTAATCTACAAATCATTATCTTTGTTAGAACTTCAAGTTGCCCTATTCAGAACCTGAAACTTAATTCTAGAATTCACATTTTTTCGCCATTATTAAAAGCTACGTACAGAGTGTGCGCCAGGCCTGCCCAGGTGTGGGTGATGCAGTGCTGAACACGGCATCCTACAAGTGACCACAGCACTTCAGTAAGGGATGAGGCGACAGAGAGGACAGGGAGCCGCAGGGGTAATGAGGAAGCCTCCTGCAGTCTGAACCAAGAGGCCTGAAGGAACGGAGGGGAGGGACTGAGGAGGGGACATTAAGCAAAAGGTACTGGCAGGAGAAGTGTAGAACCTTCTGGAACCAGAAAAGCACCTAGGCACTGGGCAGCAAAGAGGATGTAAGAAGGGGACAGAGAAGCGAGGGCCAATCACACGGAACTTGGCACACGGTGGGGCAGGCGGGCGTGGGCCTCACTCTGAAGGGGATGCGATGAGGGGCGCTGAGTGGGGGGGGGGGGGGGGCTGTGATCTAATTCATGCTTTTGAGATCACTTTGGCTGCTGTAAAATGAGCCAGAGAGGAAGCACTTCCACACAGCACAGAACTGCTCTTCTATCTGCACGGCTGTGCTTACCACAGTGTATTTAAGTATTAATATTTGCAGATTAACCACAGTTCGATAAGGGTTACAGTAAACCCTGGTCCTCACCCTGACAGTTATCAAGGCAAAAACAGTGACCTGGCTGGGGTTCCTCAGCGCCTCCCTTAGGATATATGGGAGCAAGAGTGAGTGCTCAGCACACACAGCTCCTGTAGCAACTTCTCTTCTGTCCTTCCTTGAGTAAACGGATACAGAACAACATGCCAGCAGACACATATTCTATTCCAGCACATTCCAAGTACTGGAATAGAAAACTTTCAGAAAGGAACAAAAGCTGCTCAAATATACACACTCTAGCCGGGAGCAGTGGCGCACACCTGTAATCTCAGAGGCTCAGGAGGCTGAAGGCAGGAAGATCGCAAGTTCAAAGCCAGCCTCAGCAAATTAACAAGGCCCTAAGCAACTCAGTGAGACGCTGTCTCTAAATAAAATACAAAATAGGGCTGGGGATGTGGCTCAGTGGTCGAGCGCCCCTGAGTTCAATCCCTGGTATCCCCCTCCAAAATATGCACACTCTAGAGGGGAAGACCCTACCAGCAGACATCATTACTAGTTGTGTGACCCAAGAAGGAAAAAGAGGTCAGTCGCAGAGAAGGTCAGACACTGTGGACAACAACCAGCCTGAGTGAAGAACTATTTGACAAAGCACTAGGTAAACACTAAGAAAAAATAAGACCTTTAGGTCTGGTTCCTACAAACCCAGGATGAAGACACAAACATTCAAAAGCAATCTCAGGACAACTAAATCCAAGATTTCAGGCTTACTATTTCATTTACTTTAAGACTATAACTAGGTGCAGGATAATCTTGTGTTTAAAAAGCAACAAAAACAAGCGATGCATCTGGTGAACAGAGGAAGGAAAAACGCAACCTGCCTCTGCCGTCCACTCTCGCCGCCTGCCTGCAGGCCCACCCACCCTCCCAGGGCTCCTGCTGCTCCACACAGGTCCGAGTGGCTCAGAGCCACCAGGCTCTGGGCAAGGAAGTGAGGCAGGGTAGGTGAGGCCCCCCCCTCAGGGCGGATCACCTGACGAGCCCCAGTGGGAACAGTGCCCCAAGCTGAGCCCACTGTACTGAGGCTGGCGTAAAGATGCAGCCAGACACATTCCAGGAACCACTTAGGACTGACGCACAGCTCCAAGGGGCAGTAGCATGGAACCTCACGCCTGCGCTCCTGAGAGCAAAGACGGGAAGGCCCAGAAACAGACGAGCTGCCGCAGGGGCTTCCTCTCCGTTAGCAGAACCTCCTTTACTTGTCCCCAGCCACTGGATGATGCCTCTCGCCGTGTGGCTCAGCCATACCTGAGAGTGATGGGCCTCTTTCTCTGGGTGCGTCTCCGTTCTCTCTGCCAGGCCCACCTCTGGCCTGCTCGCCGTTGGGCAGGTCTGTTTTCTCAGGAGTTGTTGGTTTGCTTTGTGCCTGGGTCTGCTTTAAACGGCTGAACTTTGGGGATACTGCTGCAGCTTGAATCACGGGGGACTGGGGTTTTGACTGAATTGGTTTTTCCAATTCTCTGGCTTCCTGCAACTAGAAGATAACAGAAAAGAAATCAACCTGTATGGTCAGAGCATATTGGCAAGAAACAATTATATTAGCCTATGGCTTAAACAGTTTCCAACCAGCAGGATTATGTATTTACTTATTTGGTACCAGGGATTGATCCCAGAGGCACTCAACCACTGAGCCACACCCCCAGCCCTTTTTTATATTTTTATTTATAGACAGGACCTCGCTAAGTTGCTGAGGCTGACTTTGAACTCACAATCCTCCTGCCTCAGCCTTCCAAGGATTACAGGTGTATGCCACCATACCTGGCCAGGATAAAATTTTAAAGGAAATAAATTCAAAGCCAACTCTGAATGTGACAAACTCAAAGCAAATTCTGAATTCAAACTTCAAGACTCGCACTAGAGTCTCTCTGATTTTAAAATGAGAACAAAAATGCAGTACAGAGAATTTGTGGGAAGAAGGGATGAACTTTCAAGTGCTAGTGACCTTCAGGGCCCTGAGGTTCACATGAAGAGCTCACACATGACAATGCCCTGCTCTAGCGGTTGGCAGTGCCACTCACCACTTGGTTTTCCATGCGGGTGAAGATGACATTCAGCATCTGGGTGAGCGTGGCCTTGGCAGTGGTTTGATTGATGAGATTTTTGCTGGCCAAATAGATGTTGTAACATGTCCTCACTGTCTGCAGGATGGTGCCCTCATGGATTTCAATGTGTGGGGAAGTCACCGCAGTCAAAAGAGCCTGAAATGTAGACCCCAACCATCAACTTCATGAATACCCACCTCCCTGTGCCTTCCCCAACCCCCAGCCAGACTTTTCTAGAACAGCTGGCTTTGGTTTTTCTTTTTTAATATTTTTATTAGTTGCTCAAAACATTACATTGATCTTGAAATATCATACATTTGATTTAACTGGGGTACATAATCCTATTTTTCCACGTGTACAGATTGCAGGATCACATTGGTTATACAGCCATGTTTATACATAGGGCCAATAGTGTCTATTGTATTCTAGTACCCTTCCTATCCCCCCCTCCCCTCCCATCACCTCTTTCTACCCAGTTGACTGAACAACTGGAAAACCTAAAGATTACATTTCTCTCTCTTTTTTTTCTTCCCCCTCACACCATCTTATATGCAATTTTGCATAATAATGAGGGTCTCCTACCGTGCAATTCCCCTTCTCTCTCCCATTCCCACGCACCTCTCATCCCTATTTAATGGTAATTTTCTTCTCATGCTCTTCCTCCCTGCTCTGTTTTGAGTCACCCCCCTTATATCAAAGAAGACATTCTGCATTTGTTTTTTAGGGATTGGCTAGCTTCACTTAGCATAATCTGCTCTAATGTCATCCATTTCCCTGCAAATGCCATGATTTTGTCATTTTTTAGTGCTGAATAATATTCCATTGTGTATAAATGCCACATTTTTTTATCCATTCATCTATTGAAGGGCATCTGGGTTGGTTCCACAGTCTAGCTATTGTGAATTGTGCTGCTATGAACATTGATGTAGCTGTGTCCCTGTTGTATACTCTTTTAAGGTCTTTTGGGTATAGTCCAAGAAGGGGAATAGCTGGGTCAAATGGTGGTTCCATTCCCAGCTTTCTAAGGAATCTCCATACTGCTTTCCAAATTGGCTGAGCCAATTTGCAGTCCCACCAGCAATGTACAAGTGTACCCTTTTCCCCACATCCTCGCCAGCACTTGTTGTTGTTTGACTTCATAATGGCTGCCATTTTTACTGGAGTGAGATGGTATCTTAGAGTGGTTTTAATTTGCATTTCTCTGATTGCTAGAGTGGTGAGCATTTTGTCGTGTATTTGTTGATTGATTGTATATCCTCCTCTGAGAAGTGTCTGTTCAGACAGAATTTTTTTAATATTTATTTTTTAGTTTTCGGCGGACACAACATCTTTGTATGTGGTGCTGAGGATCGAACCTGGGCCGCACGCATGCCAGGCAAGCGCACTACCACTTGAGCCACATCCCCAGCCCTATTGTTTAATTTTTTGAGTTCTTTGTATACTCTGGAGATTAGGGCTCTATCTGAAGTGTGAGGGGTAAATATTTGTTCCCAGGATGTAGGCTCCCTATTTACCTCTCTTATTGTTTCTCTTGCTGAGAAAAAACTTTTTAGTTTGAATACGTCCCATTTGTTGATTCTTGATTTTAACTCTTGTGCTATGGGTGTCCTTTTAAGGAATTTGGAGCTCGACCCCACAAGATGGAGATAGGGTCAACTTTTTCTTCTATTAGATGCAGAGTTTCTGGTTTGATTCCTAGCTCCTTGATCCATTTTGAGTTAACTTTTGTGCATGGTGAGAGAAAGGGATTCAATTTCATTTTGTTGCATATGGATTTCCAGTTCTCCCAGCACCATTTGTTGAAGATGCTCTCCTTTCTCCATTGCATGCTTTTGGCACCTTTGTCTAATATAAGGTAGTTGTAATTTTGTGGATTGGTCTCTGTGTCATCTATTCTGTACCACTGGTCTACCCACCTGTTTTGGTACCAGTACCATGCTGTTGGCTTTGGTTTTTCTTATTTGCTTGGCTTGTTTTGTTTTTTAGTTCTAAGATGGCTCTGCAAACTAATGGATGATTATTGCCAAGAGCCAACTTTCTATTATTGTGAAGAGTTTAAAAGCAATTACTAACTCCATAAAATCCAAATTTTCTGAAGTAGGCTTCTACTGGTTTACTTTCTAAAAAGCCAAACTTCTGAATGTTAATGTTGATTGAACAACTGGAAAACTCAGAGTAAAGATTACAGACACTTGATCTCACCCACACCAATCCCAAATCATACGTCTCAGTAGGCAGCTGGTCTCCCCGTTCCCGATGGGTTTCAAGAGGACTTTAAGAAAGTTGTGGCTGACACAGATACTTGTCACAAAGCCACAGCATCCGGGACCTAAGCCCTGGAAGGCTGGCCACACCCATCCTGTGCCCGTTTCCTGAGAAGCAGTTGGCACCATCCCATGCCAAGCCACTCCTGGCAGCAGACACAGAACAGAGAAGCAGAACGGGGAACCAGGGGAAGACCAGTGGGTGACATGAGTCTTGATGAATATCTGCTGACAAGTGGCAGTCTGGGAACTCAGAATTTCATGGGGAAAGACTAGAAAAAAAAAAAACCCATTTAATTCACAAGCAATTTACAGTTATATCAGCAGAATGTTTACTTTGGAAACACACCTGGTTCTACTCTCCTTGTCTCAGTCCATGCTAAGAAATGCTGACACTTGACAAAAGATCTAAGTGATGTTTAAATTTTTCTGTTCCAGCTCAGCACCACCTGAGACAACTAACACATGGTAAATTAGGAATCCAAATTCCCAAAGGGGACTAACTCTGTAATTGAAAATCCAGACAGGGTAACAGGAAATACCTTAATTATTTGTAACTGAACCCCTTCATCCGTCTGAGGGCCCTGAAAACAATTGCAAATGGTTTCCACAATCCTGTCAATCAGCCGTTTCCCAGGGGCTCCACTGTCGGGGGCATTGCCAGTGATGTGCCCGTAGGCGATGAGTTTCTAAACACAGAAAGAACAGAGATTAGACGGTTCTGCCTGGCCAGGACTGAGGCTGCCCACGACAGCAAAAGAAAGGCAGTGAGCATGGCCCGTCCTGCTGGTTCCTACAGACGCCTCTGTCCGAGCAGGCAGGCAAGACCACTGACATGCGGCCTTCATCCCATGTCTGGACAGCAGATCCAGGGACAGTGACACACTTTCAATGCCAGCAGCAAGGCCAGAATACTCCTCGGCACACAATCATCTGTGCAAAATACTGAGGGATTAAAAAGCACACTTCCAAAGGCAGTGGATTAGAGCGACCTGGAGCTCAGGTCAGAAGGTGGCAGAGGAACGTGGGAGTAATGATAATAAGTCTGAGGTTTAAAAAAAAAAGCCTAGGGCTGGGGCTGGGGCTTATTGGTAGAGCGCCCACCTCACATGTGTGAGGTACTGGGTTCGATCCTCAGCACCACATAAAAACAAGTAAATAAAATAAAGGCATTGATTGTGTCCAACTACACCTGAAAAAAATGTTTGAAAAAAAAGTCTATTACACTGTGGTGATGACTGCACACCTCTGTAGATACACTAAAAGTCACTGACTTGTACACCTTAAATGGGTTAATCCTATGCTAATTGTATCTCAATAAAGCTGTTAAACATATTATGTATTTTTTAATTTAAATGTTAAGATATCTAAGAAACTAAGGATGACATGTTTTGCTTAAAGAAAGAACTAGTAGCTGAGGCCGGGATAAGACTAAGGCTCTTCTTTTCATTTTCTGGGACTATTGGATCATGTCAGTATACTCTCTATTCCAAAAACTAAAGTAAGAACAGTGGCAATATTCTGTACCCACATTATCAAACAAGATGTGTCACTCACATGGCTGGAGAGACCACCTCACCCACAGCCTGGATTTCCGCCTGGAGAACCTGAGGGCTGAGGGAACCTCAGAGGTCAGGGTGATTTACAAGCCCAGGTGAAATTCAGGATCACCTGAGGGAGCTCATTAAAAACAGACTCCTGGACCCCAGCCCAGACGTAACGAACTAGAAATTCTGGGGTAAAGTCCAGGATCTTCCAACTACAAAGGTTATTCTGATGGCTGGCCATATAAAGGACAGGGGACTTCTCAAGTGCTTGATGCTTCCAGCGAGGTCCTAAAAATGCTGCTCTGTTCTTTATCCTTCCAGGCTGTCGCTGGCCACACTTCTGCCTCTGCCTGCACAAAGTAGACCCAAGCTACTGAGGCCATCTACAGGGCCACCACTGCCACGGAAGGAAAATGGGCCACCCTGCAGAGGCCTGACGTCACTTCTCAATGGCTTTTCCCTACCACCAACTACAAAGCACCGCCATTCAATAAGCAGAAACCCAAACTCAGAGTGGTCGAGTCGAAACACAGCAGCGCTGTACTGCGTGATCAAGGAGCAGTCTGCACACTCTGCCGCTCAGGAACAACCCTGGGCCCATCTGGGGGTGCGGAGCCGTCGTCCCCACCTCACTGCTCACCTGCAGGCTTCCTAAGACGCACGGCTGGCTGCTTGGGAGTCGAGTACTGTCTCTTTTGTTTTGGTGCTGGGGACTGAAGCCAGGGCCTTGTGCAGGCAGAAGCAAGCACTCTACCAACTGAGTCCGTGAGTTCTGTCTCTGAGGCTGCGTGCTCTTCCTCCTAACAAGTTTGTTGTGAGCACTGTGATTTAAGGATGAGGTACAGACTCCTGAGAAGTGAATGTTGAACAGCAGGTTCCCAGGGGCTGAGGATGTATGTGGGTCATGGTAGTCTGCAAGCTTAGGAAGCACCAGGCCCTGGGTTCCATCCTAAGCACCAAAAATAGAAAAGAAAAGTAGATTCCCGCCAGGTGCAGTGGCGCACACCTGTAATCCCAGCTACTCAGGAGGCTGAGGCAGGAGGATCACGAGTTCAAAGCCAGCTTCAGCAAAAGCGATGTGCTAAGCAACTCAGTGAGACCTGTCTCTAAATAAAATGCAAAATAAGGCTGGGGATGTGGCTCAGTGGTCGAGTGCCCCTGAGTTTAATCCTGGTACAACCTCCCCACCCCCCGCAAAAAAAAAAAAAAGTAGTTCCATATAACCAAATACAGATGCTGCAAAGTAAAAATGGAGATGTAGTACTGGATACTTAATTAAAGTACAAAAAAAGGACTAGACAGGTTCGCCCCGCTCAGATTCCTCAAAGGGCAATACCTTCCAACCTGAAAAGGGTTTTCAGTATGATTTTACCCCTTGCCTGTACAGGGAGACAGGACCACAAGAAAGCAGAGAGCCTGCATTCTGGGAGTCTTTCTGGCTCTGCCATCTAATCCTTTTCTGTGCCAGACACTGTCCCAGGCACTGGCGATACAACAGCAAGTAATATAGATGTGACTCCGTTTCTCATAGTTTATATTCTTGGCAGGGTGTGACGGGGAGGCTCACACCAAATCCTGAACTGACTGGGACTTGCAGGGCTCTGGGTGATTTGCAGACATACGGTGGATGTTCTTGCCTTAGTCTTTGCATCTTTGCTGATACAATGGGTATCAGCAAGTGTCAGTTTGGTACAGTGGGGCCACTGAGGCTCATGTGCAAGGGGTTCACAGAGGCAGGTGCTGGCATGGAGGGAACACTGCGGAATGTAAAACGCAAGCTCTAGCAAAATTTGTAAAGGTGATAATATTTACAGAAAAAGGAAAAAAAGATGAAAGAAAATCACACTTCTACGTAAGCAACTGGTTTTAAGGCTGGTGGCCCGAAGAACTTCAGCCTTATCTGTAAAGTTCTAAAAACTTTTAGAGATCGATGTTACATTCAACCAATATAACTAAAAATTCATTTTAAGTGGGTATTTAAAAATCCAAAGTATTCTAGCAATAAGAGCTAAAAGCTAACCTTTGTGGAATGAATAGGACAGCTCAAACCAAGGGTCCCTACAACCATCACTGGTGTAGGAAAAAAACATTATTTGTAACTGATATTTATCTTGTCCTTTTAAAAGTTCTGTTTTTGTATGTTTAATAACGTATAAACAGTAATATACGTACATAATTTTAAATTGAAGAAACATATAACCAGAAAAACATCAGCTTAGGCAGGACTGGCCACAACCCTTCTTACCTAGCCCTGGTCATGGGGAATGTGTAGCAGATGAGGTGCTGAAGGAAAGGAACAGGTACTTCTTAGGGCTTGACAGAAGCCAGCAGTGGGGGAAGTCCCCAGGCTTCTCCCAGTGGGAAAGAGGACATGACTACCCATGCGCTTAGCAAACCAGGTCCCAAAGCACCATGCCCTCAGCACTTCTCCACACTAAACAAATGACCAGACACAGCACAGATGTGTCTGCAACTGATGTCAACTCTGCCAAAACCAGTCTTCAGCCATTGACGCCAGCCTTCCATTTCTAAGACAGAGGTTTCTTCCCGTACGCTGGGAAATTCCAGTCCAACAGGCTGAGCAAGACAGCTGCCAAGGGGAAGTGCACTTTTCATTCAGAGTCCAGAGTGCACCTAGTCACCTTCTAGTACCATAAAAGGATGACACATTTTGCATCTTATATACCAAAGAAATCCCAGTATGCCCATTAAATTCCAGAGAACTGCATTTTACATACAGAGAGAACCATATACCATCACCCTCAAGACCAGCAGTGGCGGAAGGCAGGCAGGACATCAGCATGTCCATTTGAAATCACCACACACACATACACACCAAGCTCCAAAACCAAACAATTCCTGTTATTACAAAGGCCAGAACCAAAGGGTGATAGTTAATAGCAAGGGTCAGCAGTTTTTTCTGTAAAGGACTTCATTCTAGGGCTGGGGGGGTAGCCCAGTGGTAGAGCACTTGCCTAGCATGGGCAAGCCCTGCGCTCCGCTGCCAGTACCATACACTCCTGCCCATGCACAAAAAGACCACATGCTAACTGTTGGACTGCGGGTCACGAGGTCCCTTCAACCATTCACCTGGGCTCCAGTAGTGGGGAGCAACAACAGGTAACGCATGAATGAATGAACACAGCTGTTGCTATGGACTGAACGTAGGCCCCATCCCCATCCACAGGATGAAGTCCTAATCCCAAGGGGATGGTGTTAGGCCTTTGGGAGATAATTAGATAAGTCACTAGGGTAAGGTCCTCTTGATGGGATCAGTGTTCCCTAAGAAGAGACCAGAGAGCTAGCATGCATGCACACTCTCTAGAACACGAGGAAACACTGGGAGTCCTCAAAAAGAACCAAAATCAGTTAAGACCTTGATCTTGGACCACTCAGCCTCTACAACTCTGAAAATTAAATGTCTGATGTTTAAGTCACTCAGTCTATGGTATTATGTTACAGCACCCAAACTAAGATAGCTGTGTTTCAATAAAATCTTATTTACAAAAGCAGGCAGCAGACCAGATTTGGCTTATGGAACGCAGTTAACAACCCCTGGTTCAGAACACAAATATGGCCAGGTGCTAGAATCCCAGCAACTTGGGAGGCTGAAATAGGAGGATCACAAATTAGAGGCTAGCCTCAAACTTGGACTTTGTCTCAAAACATTAAAAAAAAGGGCTGGGGCCATAGCTCAATGGTAGAGTATCTCTAGGTTCAATCCCCAGCACTGTCCCCCCACCCCCCAAAAACCCCAAACACCATACATGGGGGTTCTGTGGGGTTAGAAAGTCCTAGATACCCACCTAATTTCATCACTCCCTGGCTACAGGAACTTGGACTGAGTTGGTAACTTTGTTCTCTAAGCCTTGGTTCCCTTGATTCTAGACTGAGGACACCTCAGAGGGCTGCTGTGGAGATTACAATAGTAAAGAGTTTGACGCGCTTGGGGCCTGGCGCAGGACAGGAACTCAATGTGCTGTAGCCATCACCTCAGCCCTCAGTGCTGCTGACCGCCAGCACCAGCCCGAACCAGACCTTATCACAGGGAAACAACTAAAATTAAAGCTATGCTACATTTCCTCAGAAACATTCACGGCATCAACTATTTTAGGATAGAAGCAGGACTTGGCCTGCCATTTAAGAATCCTTGGCTCCTTAAATGTTCCACATAGGACAATCTGTACAGAATTATCTTGAATGAGAAAAATGTTTTTTCATTTGGAAAACCTGCTTCTGTGAAAAAACTGTTGTCAATTCTCAAATATATATATATCAAAGAAGGGAGATTAATAGAGTAAATATTAGACGAGGGGTGCCAAGACTGTGGCATGCCCACTGCCACTTTGCAGTCCTGCCCCAGCAGACAAACCAATCAGCGAAGGCGCTCCTTCTCCAGCTCTGCATGAAGCTGCACGTGCCGTGTAACGCAGCTCGCTAAGTGATCGTCATGTAAAATCTAGTCACCCTTTTTGTTCTAGAAAATACTGGTAAACTGTGAATCCCTTTAGTATATTTGAAAGACTTCAATGAAATGGTTTTCATTGTTGTGTGTTCCCCACTGAAGCCCAGAATAAATATTCTTTAAGGTAATCAGAAACTTCAGGACTAAGTCTTCAGAAAATACAAGAATGTGGACCGGGGAAAAGAAACGAGCCACAGTTCTGCTTCTGTCTTTCACCTCCTGCACCTCCCTGGACATGTCGCCCTGACTTCATCACTCCTGCTTCTTCGTCAGTAAAGGGTGGCGGGTAATGAGGTTCCCTGCAGCTCTACATACAGCCAGTGCTCATTATTTACAGATTCTGTATCTCAGATGCACCTACTCCCTACATTTGGAAGCCCCGAGTCAGTACTTGCGTCTCCCGTGGTCATGCGCAGCGCAGGGAGACCTGGGTGCTCGCCTTCCAGCTGCGTGAAGGGGCGACACCTGGCCTTCTTGTTTCAGTTCTCCCAATCGCTGGGTACATGGTGCCACATCTTTCACACTCCTGTCCTCTCTGCTCTTTAAGATGGTCCCTGAGTGTGTGCTGGAGAGCCTTCTCAGGTTTAAGAGCAAGAAGGCAGTGATGTGCCTGGCACAGAAATCAGAGTTAGATAAGCTTTGTTCAAGTGTGTGCTTTGTTCAAGTGCAGTGCTGCTGGCAGTGAATGGGACACCAAGGAATCAACCACGCATTTTAAATGAGGTGCATACGAACAGAAACACACCAAGAACAAAGTCATTTACTAACCAACTCACTCAAGAATGGCAGGAAGCTGACATAGGAGGAAAGGTTCAGCATTCGCTTATTTCTACCAATAATACGAACTGTTTCTACCCAATATTATGAATAAACGTCATCAAGAAGAGGTTTCCTGGGCTGGGGTGTGGCTCAGTGGCAGAGAGCTTGCCTCGCATGTGTGAGGCACTGGGTTCAATCCTCAGCACCACATAAAAATAAATAGACAGATAAAAGTATGGTGTCCATCTACAACTAAAATAAAAATACAAATAAAGAACAGGTTTCCTGTGCCAGGCATTCCACGCACGCACTCCTCCCCTCCTTCCTGCGACTCAGAGAATAAGCTGTGCTGCTCCTCTCCCCCCCACCCCAAGGCCTCCCCAGTACCAGGGCCGTCACTAGCACAGCTCCAGGTAAGGAACACCTGTGGGTGGAGGGGACCCTTTAGATCATCAAGTTGAAACGTGGTACCTGCAAGCAGTCAAGAGACGTGCTGACCACCCGGGGGGACTTGGACTGGCAAGCCAGCTCGAAGGGAAGGAAATACTTGTCAGCTTCGATGAAGCTCGCCTTTGGCGGTGCTGTGGTGCCAAGCCTAGGGAGAGAGCGGGGTGGAGAGGTGAGAACCGGCAGCCCACTGTCCTTGCGCCTCACTCGGACTTCCCACTCCACTTGCTTCCGTTTATTTAATTAAAAAGTCCGGCAAGCTGTATCTTGGGGCCAGCCAATTAAATGCTGAACACATGCCACTTTAGGGGAAAAAAATCCAGTGCCACATGCAGACAGAGAGATCTCTGACAGCAAGGTGCATCCAGGGCACCCAGACTGAAGCCTGGCGGCAGCTATGCCAGAGCTACATTTCTAAAATGTGACTAACTGGCTTCATTACCATGAAGATCAGGGGCGGCCACTTACAGGGCCAGCTGTCCTTATGCTTAAGCCAATCAAACAAGAGACAATGGCTCTGCTCTTCTCTCAGGACAAGGTCTGATGGCATTATCTTGACCTTTCCTCCACATACCCACGTACTCAGGTGGTCACCTGTTGACCTAGCGCTGGTTCAGACACACAAAGCTCTGCCAGGTGCCCAGGACCGTGCTAGCAGCACGACGTCCCTGTGATTAGAAATGGATGGCCACACTGCTACCACCCCCTGTGCTGCAGGTCCAGCCAGGAGAAGGTGCGTTGCTTACCTCTGCTTCTCTATTTCTGCTTTGATTTCATCTGGTGGGGAAGAAGGAAAAGCACGTTAGGGCCATGCAGCGTTTATGGAGAAGACAGCTTCACCACGTGGTATTCAGAACCATTAAGAAGGATGTCTAGGGGCTGGGGCTCAGAGGTAGAGCACTCGCCTAGCACATGCAAGGCCCTGGGTTGGATCCTCAGCACCACATAAAAATTAATAAACAAAATAAAGATATTGTGTACAACTAAGAAATAAATTTTTTTAAAAAGGAGGATGCCTAGGAGGCTTTACACATTCAAGTTCTGACGTGAGGACAGGAGAACAGCAAAGGCTCCCGTGGCAGGCAGGCGCCGGGCTTCCTGCTCTACTTGCTGAACTCACTTAACACTCACAACAAGCCTGTGAGGCTCCACCTTACTATGGCATGGTTTCTCAGCCTAGGCGTTGCTGATATTTGGGGACATCTAGTTCTTTACTACAAGGCGTCCGGTGCATGGCAGTTGCTGAGCAGCTTCCCTGGCCTCCACCCACTGGATGCCAGTAGCACTCCCACCTCCCTGCAGTCTTCAATGCCAAACACACCTCCAGCACTGCCAAGTGTCTCCTAAGCAAAACTCCCTCTGATGAGAACCAATGGTTTCGATGAGGAAAACAAGGCAGAAGACAAGTGGGTAACTTGCCCTCTGTTACATTAAGATCTGGAAGCCAGTGCGGTGGCATACACCTGTAACCCAGGAACTTGCAGGCTGAGGAAGGAGAACTGCAAGTTCAAGGCCAGCCTGGGCAAATTAGCAAGACCCTGTCTCAAAAGAAGGCAGGGAGGACTGGGGATGTAGCTCAGTGGTAGAGCACTTGCCTGGCATGTGTGAGGCACTGGCTTTGATCCCCAGCACCACATAAAAATAAATAAAGTAAAGGTACTGTGCCCATCTACAACTGAAAAAAAAAAAATTATTTTAAGAAGGGGGGAACCATAATTTGAACCCACGCATTTTGGCTCTGTAGTCCCTGCCTACCGACTTCCCCACTCAGCATAACATATATTAGTGACAGCTGACACAGTATCATGGTACTATAGCAACAGACCCCAAAAAACAAAGAACAACAACAAAAAAAAAACACTGAAAGTCACCTAAGTAGTAGTTGGTGGTTTTTCCTTCTTTTTTCACATTTTCTATGATAAGCATATACACTTTTAAAAACAATTGTGGTAAAATATACATAACCTAAAATGTACTGTTTTAACCATTTTAAAATGTGCAGTTCAGTGTTGTGCTAAACCATATTATTCTAATGAGTTAAAATAATCTTAAAAATCTTTATCATGGAGGTTACAAGAACTACACAAAGTTAAGGAAATAAAATGTCATGATTCAGAAACACAGAAGAGACCGTCTCGTTTCCAGGAGAGTAAGGCTTGGTGCCTCTGGAGCAACACCCCCATGTCCACTCAGTCGGTCGGTCGACTGTCCCCATGTGTGGTGCCACTGGCTCCAGGTGCCTGCACACAGGTGAGGGGAGAAGGGACACCCAAGGCTGGCACTCGGCCTCTTGCACAGACTCCTGAGAGCCTGTGGTCTGGACATGGTCGTCAGTTACCCTAACAGCCTCAGGACACGGTTCTGGAGGTGACAAGCTTCCTTTTCTTGGGCTCTAAGACCACCTCTGTTGGGAAGACCGCTGCTGCTGACCCACCCCGATGACGCCATCACAGGATGGCTACCTGCCACCCACGTAAGGCTCCAAGAGTAAGAAAACCACATGCAGAGGTCACTCGCTCAAAGGACTACGAGGGCCAGGAAGGAGACACCAAGAAGAACTGCAGCAAGCGGTTCCCTGGACCAACAGGGCAGGGGTGCAGCTGCTCCTCAGCCCCAGCTGACTGGTACTGGCACCCCCAGAGACCCTCAGTCGGGAGGGGCCCATCATTCTGATTCTTCCAATGGTTAAAATCCAGATTTTAGGTGAAAACTCAAGCTTGCGATTAAAAACAACTTCACCCATTTTTAAAAATATTATGGCTCAAGTAAGAGCAGTCTGCAGGCTGCCCTGGCCCTGAGCCTACTAGTCTATCACCTTTGTTTTAAGGGACAGGGAAGAGCCTGGCAGAGGTGCTTCACGGATGCACAAAAGGCACTGCAGCCAGCACTGTGAAGACAAAGCATCAAGTTTCAACCAAGCCAGATGTCACTCAGGCAAAGGGCAACCAAGGAGCAAGAGGCCCAGAGTCCAAGGCCAAACAGACACAGGACTGAGGGGTTACCAGGTGGAGCTGGGACCTGAGCCTAGAAAACCAGACTCAGATTCTTTGCTCAGAACCTCTTGGGTCTCTGACTCTCGAAAAAGCACACAGAATTAAGTTGTAAACTACAATGCAGAGCCATATAAAGCTGTGGTTTTGCTACCACTTGTGCAAACCATGAGCGCCGCAACTACCTGCAGCGCCAAGTGCCAGCGCTCTTCACTCTCCATGAGAGCTGCCGGCAGGGAAGGTCGCCAGTTGCAGACACCTCAGTTTGGAATCTCCTGATCCTCCTTTCTGGCCTGCTGTGGCATGACCACGCAAAGGTGCACCCTGGGTAGCCGTTTTCTTTTTTAAAAAAGTTGCAGTGCTGGGGATGGAATCGCTGGTCTCCCACATGCTAGGGAAGGGCCCCCCCACCCAGGGGCTACATCCCAGCTTCACCTGGCTTCTGAGTGGGAATGAGCAAGGACAACTAGCAGAGTGGCAGGACAGGGCGACTGCTGAGAACAGCCCTCTCCCAGGAGCTACCAGGGAGTTCAGGAAACCACAGCTGCAGATTTTCTGTTGTTTTCTTACTTTACCTTTACTATTCACAAAGAATTCAGAATTGTTGCACTTTTAAATTATTTGAAGAAAAAAAAATCTCTAAAATCCTCTCCATGGACACAGCAGAGGTCTGGGTGTTCCAGCACCTTGGTATAAAGCAAGGGAGGAGCCCCAGAGGGCCTCGAGGGAGCGCTGACCCCACCTTCCCTGAACAAATCACTCTGGCTGCTGCTGTGTGGAGAGGAGAGGGCCAGGACAGGAGCAGGAAGCCATCAAGGAGCACCTGCTGATCGCCCAGCCAGCAGGAACGAGGGCTGGCCCAGGGTGAGCTGTGCAGGCAGAGAAGCACCAGTCTGAAGCCAACGCGGGAACCATGTTGACAGGCTGGGAACGATCAAAGAGTAGCACTGGTGTCATACGGCCCCACTAGCAGGCTCCCGATATGCTGGTAACACAATGCTTTCCCAGCTAAAAGGAGGGAGGAGATGAGCCTGAGGAGGGGGTGCGCGGCCTGGTAAGGGGGGAAGCGGGAACGAGGCGTGGCCGGACAGCTGGGCTCCAGGCCTGACGGGGACGCCTCCTGGCTGAACAGGACAGTTAAACTTTGCTGAACCTCAACTTCCTACTCTAAAGACGATGGAATGGCAAACAGCAGCCCGCATGGTGCAGAGACCATAGGGGGATCTGCGGACAGCTGGAGAGAAGCCTTGTCAGAACAACGAGCAGGGCCCGGGCTGCCACCCACCAGTGGCCTCCAGACAGGAGTCAGCGAGAGCAAAACCTCTAGGCCATCACGGAGCCAGCTGAGGGAAGAAGGAAAACAAGAGGAACCGCCATCACCAGCACCGCTGTCACTTGTGACTGGCCCAGGGCTCAGCCCGTCCTCACTGCAACCCAGGGTGGCGAGAAGATGGCCATCATCCGTCACACCCCCACCACGGCACAGATGAGGAAAGTGAGCACAGAGAGGTTAAGGCACCAGCCGCCAGGCACCCCAGGCCAGCAGGCAGAGCCCCACCCTGCAGGAGGGGAGAGGAGCAGCTGGCGGGCCACCTGCCGCACTTCACGGCTCACATCTTAGCAGGAGCTGCTCTCCCAGCTGCCACCCGGGCAGTCAGCAGCAATAAAGGAGCAGGCTGCAGGGAGGAGAGGGAGCCGGCTGGGTGGGGCTGGACGGCTGCAGCTGGAAAGCCACAGGCTTCTCAAGAAACCATCCTGAGCGTCACCATCACCTGCAGGAACCCCCCCCCACACACACTCCTCAACAGCTCACTCTGTCCCTTCCACTCCCAACGATGACATCACCATCTTCCCACCCGACCCTGCCCAACCATCCAGAAGGGCCAGTGCCCCCAACACCACAGAGTGTCCCTTCAAACATCTGACAGGCACAACTCTCCCTGCTCTGTAGAGCAGAGGGGTCCTTGGACTCTCCCTCCTCCACATCCTCCTCCACCCCAAGCCAGCCTATGGGGCCGGCCACACCCTGAATCTGGTCCCCATGTGCAGCTGAGCTGGGTCTCCCAGCTCCCTCCTGTCCTCTGCCCACGACCTCCCTTCCTTCACACAGACCCTCTCCAATGCTCACAGAGGGCGTTTCTTTGGTGTGAAACCTCGCCCTGGCCAGCACGCCTCTCCCCTCCCTGCGCTTGCCAGGGCGGCCATCGGCAGGACTGCTGTCAGGATGACAGGATCAACAGCAGGGCCTCTCTGACCTTTGGTCTTGACTTCTGGCAAAATCCCAAACTCTGAATGTACTACTATCCTCCTGTGACCTGTCTCCACCCGAGCAGAGGTGGCAGGCAGCCTGGCCACCCCCGAGGCTGTCACTGCCAACTGTGGGTACCAACTAGGGATGTTTCCCTCCTCACAGCCCCCCTCCTGTCACCTCCACGACTCCTTCCTCACAATCCATGGCACAGCCTCCTGCATCCCTCAGAAGTCAGAGGCTGCCTCCAAGGGACTCCCTCAACTTCCTGTTCACAGACCTAGAAGTCGCCTACTCTGGAGCCACCCTCTGCTCTCACCTGCTCCGAGAGCTGCGTCCACCCTCCACCTCCACAGTCCCCGGTCTTGGAACTCCCTGCTCTCTGGACTACGCACAATCTGACACCGCTCACCATTAGGCCACCACCACGGCCCACCCACCTGGACCATGACAACAGCCTCAACTGTCTCGCTGTCCCCCTCTTCCCTGCCTCAGGCCACCCCACAGCAGCTGGAGGGATTCCCCCGAAAGGGAAATGA